CTGTTATTCGACCAGTGGATTGAAATCAAATGAAGCTATGATCCTCACAGTTAATAAGCAATTTAAGGATTTTCAGCAAGGAAGTCTGAAAAAATTCAGGCTTTGACAAGATTCGAACCCATGCGTGTCTCCTAGATATTAAGTAAGCCTTTATAAGTCATAGGCTGTTGGCTGCTTGTTATTGGGCTAAGCATATTTGCTTGCTTCAATGGCATTCAAATGTCCTTCTTCCTAACTATCAACATGTTAATCTGTCATTAAATGAAATGCAAAATCCTAATTTTGTTTTTGTCGAAAAAAAAAAAAAGAAGACAGGGCCTCTTTTTTTGTACGACAGTTAAGAATTGGTATTTCACTGAGCATACTTAGATCTAACAAAAAATAGCACCTCCTTTGCTTTGGTAATTATTTTCAGTTTATATTAATTGTTATCATATCGTTGGCAGCGCCCGTAGGCAATATGAAGCGAATCCTGTGTTCTTCTTGACTACCTTGGGTCGCTTCTCAAGGCTGCACCAATGCAAAGATACTTGATGATTAGTCCCGATGGTACAGAGTTTTGTTTGAAATGATCGCAAAATAAAAAGCATGCCCCTTTGTTGCCCACCACGGTTTGAAATCCACGAATGAATTAACAATTTAACGAATGCGGCCGCAGGAGAGAATATCACTGGCATGCTACTTGTTATTCTAAGGAATTCAAAGTTTGATCCCTTTTGCTCAGAGGGGAATCCCAGCGGACGTCAAGTCGCCTAATGCAAAATTTCACCGTGTTTGTGTGCACTCCAAATTTTATCAAAACTTAACGATATTCAAGATCTGAGCTTTCATGTGATATAAGTTTCATTAGTTTTGATAAGGAATTGCATTCATAGGAACGAAAGTCGTGTTTAAGGTCATCTCGACATTCTCTGTGCCTAATACGAAGAAAAAACGCCAAGTCCCTCACATGCTTTTAATGTTGTAGTATATTACCGCATCTTAACTTTCATTTGATGTAAGTTTTATACGAATTCATGAACATCAGTGAAAATCACTCGGCTAAAATCTCTCTGGTTTCGCTGTACGTAAACTGATCAAAATTTCCTTGACATCAACATGTTTTATTTATTGTTCCATAATTGAGACATGAAACATAACGTTTGAGTCCCATTCGCCGTAGATTACAACAACTTAGCTCTCATTTGTTGTAAGTTTCATAAGACAGGCTACACATAACGTCTGAGTCCAATCGCCACCGGTGACGAGTAGACTCTCAGTGGCAGCGAGTTTGTTGTGGTGGCGAGTTAAAAGGATACCTTTTCAAGATTGTGGATCCTTACCGCTGTATGCTGAACCTCGAAATCCCGGCTGTTGTTCTCTCGGACTGTTTTACACAGCTAAAAATTTGCACGCAAGTGGTTTTTGTAATCTTGGAAACAATATCTGCCCACCAGATCATACCTTACCAGGCCTCTAGCATGAACGAAGAAATGGTTCGAAGAAAACAATCGACATTCGCTTTCATTTATTGAATATTTTCTAAAATAACTTTTTAAACAGTGTGCTTGAAAAATCTAAGTTGGATGCTACAAGATTAAGTAGGTCCTTGGACTCTGTTCTCCATGAACGGAATTTTAGGGAATAACTTTATTGCCTACAAAAATCCATGTCTCTCGGCGCTGTTGCTATGGATATGTTTTGGAGAGAGAAAGAATTGAAATTTTGATCAATTAACGAATGTCTCTTTACACTTCCATTTATCCTCAGACTCTATCGCTGAATCGCGATACATAACGAATTGTGATTTTGAGTTGCAAATACGGTATGATATTGGCGGCATTGAGAGAAATTGTATTCTCCATTTGAGAAATTATGTTCTCATATTGAACAATTGAGGCCCAGCCACACTCCTGTATTTTCTCCCAACTGGCTCTAAATGTGATGCGATTTTAGCGATTACCATGACAAATATATTCCTGGCCAGGTATTCTACACCTAGATCGCTTTCGTCGCATCTCGCTAAGGTAAGAGCTTTTAGTTTTCATTTGATCCTAAGGGTTTTTATAGCTTTTATCTAGATCCCAAGGATTTTTACTAGTAATCGTCAAGAAGTCCAAAAAGGAGAAAGCCGAAGCGAAACAAACTTGAATCTATTAACGAGCGACGTCTGTACAATTCGATCGCAAACACAAGTGGTCCCCGGTCCAGGAAAACTATAAGGATCTAATCAAAGTTCCAACCGCTTCAACTCAGGAGTAAGATTTACCCTCGAACCTATAACTGTAACTGAAAGCGATTTTAGCACGATCCGACCGGCGAAGGGATGAAGTGTTGACAACAATCGCACCTGCATTTGCAACTGCAAATACATGGCCAAGGCGGTGTTAGCTTCGGGCTACTCGTTACTTCAAAGTGTTTCAAGACTATTACTTCGGCAGCTTTGTGGACTTAACTGATCTTGCTACTGAAAAACCACCTTCTGCTGAAGATCAGAATGAAAATGGATTGTTAAGTGAGGTTTGTTTTTACGTATGTATGTGTAGGCCAATCGCAGCATATGCTTCCTCGTAGAGACGGGGCATAAGTGGAATAAGATTTGCTCAATAAGGAGGAAAAAGAGTCTGCTGAATTGATGTGTTCACTCAACAACAGAAGAATGTTTAGAGAGAAACGCCGAGTTTGAGCTCGTTTAATTATCACAAGTGAAACAGTTCGCGCGCAATGCCGTCAAATCTAGCAAAGATAATTATCACATAAAACCTTTACAAAAAGAAAAACGCGCGTCAAAATTAGAACAACGTTTACTCGCTAGGATCCTTATACCCTCCGTTTCAATGAGTTATTCAGATATTTATTTTCTACCACTCCTTGGAAAACCTTGAAAATTTCCTTACGTGGCACATCGAGGCATGAATAAAGTCAGGAGTTGCTCCGCTGGCGACGAAACGCAAAACAGGACTTTCTAAACACATAACCATGAGTTTAGTTTCTAAAAATATCGCTAAAACTTTCCTATTTATATAACTGCTGTAAATGGGCGGCCTGTAATTTTGTAGACCAAACAATTTACTCCTCCGTAAATATAATTATTAGTGCGAATGTCGATTATGCACTAATTATTTCAAGCCAGGAATCTCAGCTGGTACTGTATCACGTTACATTTGGTAACGCAGGAAGCCATGACACGGTAAATTGGGGTTGATGCATATCGGTAGGCCCAAGGGGCTTTTCTCAAAGTGTCATATGATCATTTGGAAGATTTTTTTTGCTCTCCTGACAATCTTGGTGACTGGGATAACCTTCGTGTGTTTTTTTTCTGTCACGATCGTTTGTCACACTTTCCGCCATGACAGACATCCCAGCATTCCCCACGAGTTAAACCTACAAATGTCATCCATACTGGGGTAGATCCAGGAAAACCAAAAGGGAATCCAAAAATGTCAAAGAGATTTACATCCATAAAATTAGAAATGATTTGGGAAAACGTGTGCTGACCCTTTCTTCTGTTTTCATTAGGAGACAGAGGTCAGCCTACTTGGCTATAGTCTAATTTTTTGTTGGATGCAAAATGCTTTGGCAGTTCAGGTGATGATGATTGATTTACCTTAGGTTTCTGCATAAAAATATCAAACAAGCTAAAGAAAACACAACATTTCTTAATTATTTGAAGGCTTATTATTTTTTTTTTTCAACCTTTGATTTTGTGCATGAAAGCACAAGTTTAAATGGAATTTTCTTAGGGCTATTATAGAATTAAGAGTAATACCTAATCATCCCAATGAACTACAAGGGTAGCAGAATTTTATTTTTAGATTTTGATAGCCCTTGATAAGATTTTCTTACTGCAAAAATTTTATTTTTGGGTTTGATAGTTCTTTGGGACCTTCCTTCCTTGCACTGATATTGATTATTGAGTAAAATAAGATCTTCATTAGCAGGCACTGTCCACAAAAGAAGTTTTGTAACTTCTTCATTCTTAATAGAAAAAAGCACAGTGGTAACACAAAGGTCTAAGTATATCAACATTTTTTAATTGTCAAATTAACTTAACCGTGTATGAATCTTCAGGAGAACTTTTGTAGAAAAACAGCAATTTGCATTTATTTTCATCTTTTGATCATGTGTTTAGAGTGATGACCACTTATAATATGCAACTAAGGATAACAAGTATGTTTTCAAGTAATTGTTATGCAATTGAATACATTCACTGGTAAAACAGGATATGTTGTTGTTATTGTTTGGACTTGAGACTCTAAAAGCTGCACTTGCAGTGTTAGTTTTTTTTTTTTTAATTTGCATCTAATTGTCACTGCATAGTCACACTCTTCTGTCTTGTAGTGGAGATTGTCTTTGCAACATACTTTGCCTAGGTCATATGCTAGAGCTAATTTTCTTAAATCTTCACTTTTATTTACATTCATTATCTGCAAAAATTTCCAAAGTATGTAAAATTAATGTATTGTAAGGCTTGAAACTTAATATCTGCTGATTACATTACCATGTATAAGCTTTAACAAAACAGCAAGCAAAAGTTATCAGAAAGCATTCTTAAGGTGCTTTGAAAAATCTTCCCCTGAAATGCTCAAATTTTTTGTATGGAGGTGCATATGTCGGTTTGATTCAACAAGATTAATTCAACAAAACTCAATCATCCTTGTTAGATGAAGTCTTGTGAGGGATGGATTACGATTGCACAAAATGAAATTATCTGCACCTAAATTTGAAAACTCTCCACATGCATCCAAAACTAGGTAGAACAACGTTTGACTGGAAATGAATAGAAAAAAGGCTGAAAGTTTCTTAAAACTGAGACAGGTCGTTAATGCGTATAGATAATCGAGGATCACTGGTTTAATTGATGTACGTCTAACCGTGCCGTAATAGTGATGGCCAACTCAACTTCAACGACTTATAATTTTTTTTTTTTTTGTTTCCGATGTGCACTTTAATATATCTTTCGAAAAGTTTCGGGGACATCCACGTGACACTCATGGCTTTTTCGACAAAACAAGTGACACCAACTTCTTTTCGTAAAAACTGCGAAGTTGTGGAAACTTTTACACCGCACTATAGAATAAACATAAAAAAAAAACTTTACCGTGCAAAATAGCAGATTTGAAGAGTAACAAGATAATTTAGTTTCATCAACTGAGTAGAGTAAATTGGCCACCTTAAGTGTTCCTGGAGGAGATGTTTTGAGTGTTAGCCCTTCGTCATTCGCTCTGACCAAGGACTAACGCTCGAAACGTCAGCTTTAAAAACTTTTCACGATTACTTTTAACATTATCAACTCAATTGATAAAACCAAGTTGTTTTGTAATACTCACTACTGACGCAGTACCACATTTTCTTTAGAAAACTTATCCCCTTCATTCATTTGAAAAGTAACGGTTTGGCTTTGTCGATACACCATATCCAAACATGCCCATTGAAATTAAGCCTACAATCTATTACTACTGCAAGGATTTTTATTGGATTTTAAGCAATTCATTTTGAGAAAAAGTGGTCTTAGTACAGATCTGCTCCACCCCGGTTTCACACGTGTGCTACCGGTACTCATTGAACACACAGTAGCTGCTCATTCTCCTGATAACTTTCAAAAATGTTGTTATTTACAGGTAGCCTGTACTACGACGGAAACAAAAGATTTATCACGGAATGGGAGGAAAAGAGTACACTCTAAAGTGTACACTTGGCTTGATATTGTTTGTAGTGCTACTGTGGCAACTTGAGACAAATTATTTTCCCTCGAATGAAAATTCCATCCCCATGAGACCAGTTGCTGTAGGGAGAACGAAAATGGATGACATGAAGGAACCTGTTAAGGATAGTTCAAAGCTAAAGATAAAAGCTGCGAAAATCACAACACAGCACGGCATAAATGTAACAACCGAAGGATCAGAGACAAAGCGTTGGCTTGTAGTATATTGGTCAACGTTTTTTGGAAGAAGGCTCAATCTTCACGAAACATTTGAAAAAGGTGACTGCCCAGTACCGTGTGAGTGGACTAGTGACCAATCCAGAGCAAAAGAGGCAGATGCCTTTTTAGTCCATGCCAGGGACCCACAACCAGACCCACCAATAAAATCAGTGCCTTGGATTCTGCAGACTCGAGAAAATCCAATTTACACACCGGTATTGAACGACGCCAGCTTCATGTCGAAATTTAGCTACTTGAAAAGTTATCGGCTGGACTCAGACTTTCCAGATCCCTCTGTCTTGCTGCCTGGTGTAGCACCCCCTGTTCCTTTTAAGAATAAGACTGGGCTCATTATGGCAGCTTTCTCAAATTGCGAGGTAGTTCGAACCGAGTACATGAGGCAGCTAATGAAGTTTGTAAAGGTTGATTCTTTCGGCGCCTGTCTAAGGAACAATAATAGTCTAGTGGGCAGGTATGGCAAAAACAAACAGGGCACTGATTTCAGAGATGCTAAATCCATGCTGGCCAGACAGTACAAGTTCAACCTGGTGTTCTTCAACCAAGACTGTGATTATTTTGTGGATGCTCAACTACACCACGCAATGGATGCAGGCTCGGTTCCTGTTGTCATGGCTACAGATAAGCTGGATGAGTTTCTACCCGGGCCCTATCTTAACCGTTCAGTGATAAAAGTGCGTGATTTCAAGAGCCCTCAACTGTTGGCTGAATACCTCAAGTATCTTAGCAACAACGAAACCGAGTACAATAAATATCTGGGGTGGAAGTGGAAAGGATATGGCGACATCACTGGAACTGCTATCGGAAATTATTGGATGCCAAAGTATCCACTGTATTGTCAAGTCTGTGTTGCAATTTCGAAAGGGAAAGGGCCCAAAGAGGGTCTTAAACCATTCAATTGCAAACCAAGGAAATTTGAAGACTGGGGAATTACGAAAGGGGCCTGACTTAAGTCTACTTTTGTCATTAAAGAGGACCCCGTTAGCTTAGCAAAAGAGTCAGATATGGTGAGATATATCACTTTACATGCACTTTCTCCAATCACATTATGAGAATGTGCAAGCGGAAGGAGACAGGCAAGAGTAACCTTTTCAGAAATGAGGGTACTGAGAAATCTTTTCGAGAACTTGCCAGGCCTGAAATAATGTTTGCCTTTGAAATAATAAAACTGTTAGTCATCTGTGTTTTCTGTCGAAGCGACGATCTCGGATTGTGTATAGTTTGTTAATCTCACTCAGCCTGTTCAGCATTTACTAGCGGAGCTCGCAGAGCGTAGCCCCATAATTACACAAAATAGTAGTAACCGATCAAGCCGAAAAAATTTGGACTTACGACCGTACGACCGACCGTACAAGATGCTACTTTTAACATGCGCGGTCAACTGTATCGCGGGCACACCAACGCCACGGCTTTGTCCAGTAGTCTAGTGGTCAGTGCACTGAGCTCCGAGTTGGACGACACGGGTCCTAGTCCTGGCCGGGGCAAGGATTTGTGCCCTTAAGACGTGCGGGGAAAAAATGCGAGCTCCGCTTTTAGGCTTGGCTAAATCTATATATTATGTGATGACGAGGAGGTAGAGAAAAACCTCAACCTGAAGGAGAGCCAGTTAAAAACTTATTGTCAATCCACGCAATGAAGATGTTTTCTAGAGGTTACTATTCCCAAAAACCAAGCATCGTTTTATAAACAAAGGTTTGGGAAATGAGGAAAAAAATTTTTTTAAAAATGGAAGGCTTGAGAATACTGAAAGAAGCTAGAGTTGCTTAATTTCGGGTACAACGTGAACAGCTCATAATTCCCCCGTACATTCCAAACTTTTCATGAGCATCCATAAATCTGAACTCTAAACATAAATCAATTCGCAAATTTTCACAGGCCAGGTAGTATTCAAGGAAATAAGATTTTGTCCAGTTCTGGGAAAAGTCAGAGAATCACGTCTTTAGATGAGGTCAGGGAGAAGTGAAATCGCAAAGAAATATGATCTTATTCATCTTGGCCTCTTCAAGATGAAAGATGCGAACACGGCAGGGACCACGGCAGGACGTGACCTCCGTGCCCCACCCCATATACACACCCACCCAGCTACCCTCACACACAAACGCAGCTTTGCCTTTGTTCACTGCAAAGTTTTAAGCGGTTTTCAGGTCATTTGTTCGTATCCCTATGGCAGCATGAAAGTGGAATCGAATGGAAATAGAATGGAAAGCTATGCTCGATTCGTTTTTTAATTGAAAATTATAGACGATTGGTAATTTATTGAGCTATCAGCTTGTTCATGGAGTTACTTGCAAGAACTGACCAATCCGGGGCAAGGAGTTGTGTACAGGAAACAAGATTGAATTCCGCGTAAATTATTTGTCATGTCTGCTTTCTTTGTCACGAGAGATAAAATAACTCTCTTCAATCAAGTTTTCGTGGAGGAAAATCTGAGCTCTGTACATGTGCCGATCTAAATAAAACGAAGGAATCAGTACACTTGAAGAGGACTTGAAGAGGTCTTGAAGGTAATCTAAAGCCGAGAGATATAGTAACGAAGGTCTTCAAAAGGGCTGAGGGTGGCATGCTCTTCTATTCCCTAAAATGATACAAAGCTTTTCCCGCGTTCACTAGGAACGTTTAAAAACCGTTTTCATTGAATTTCTGTTTTGATATGTTCCCATTACGTCCTTTTCCCGTACGCTGTTTTCCTGATCCTCGTCAAAACTATTCAAAGATGGGAAAAATACTTTTTTAGAGCTACCTCAATCAAAATCAACCTTAGGGGTAAAGCCAACAATAATCAAGTTGTGACTTGTAATCAGAGAAAATATCGCTTGATACGTGTCTAGTATGTGTCTAGTTACAACTGCTACACAACGATGCTAGTTAGTAACTGGATTTAGCCGCTGGCTAATTTGGGGCGCACTCGCTGAAGAGCATGTGAGCCGAATGCAACATGGCTTCCCGCCATGTCGATGTCAACGAGCGTCGGCTTCGTCCTGTTTATGGTACTTCTCTTTCGTTTTACCAGTTACAAAAATTACTGATATAAAAGAGAGATAATTTTTGACCCTTTTTGTGCTATATTTTCAGATGCGTTGGACAGTATGAACAACAAACTGGCCATCCAACTTGCAGACAAAATTTTAAGGAAGCAGAAAGACCTGTACTGCGCCAAGGTAAAAGTTTCTGCGGACGGCATGAATCACGTTCAGTGAAAGTGTGATTACGCTAAATGTGTAGTAACAGGGTACATTCAGTCCTTTGTTTGAATTGCAGGCTCTTAAAGGACTGGCTTTATTGCGATCAGGAAAAACTGCTGAAAGCGAGACAATTATGGTGGAGATTATGGAAGCGAAACCAGCGGACGATCCCACGCTTCAGGCAATGACAATTTGCTACAGAGAGATGCAAAAACGTAAGAAATGTGTAGAGTTCATTTATCAAGGGTTACTTTCTCCAATTCACCTATTCAGATGAAAACTAATGAATGAGTTAGATAACAGCAGGTGCCTGTTCCTCTGATCCGCTATTTGCACTTGGTGATTGACCCACAGCTTCTCCTTACAATATCAATAGAAACACCAAGAAGTACGTGGTGGGAATAGGCACACTGATCTGTTACAGGGTGTTTTCATGATACAACTCTGTTCTGAAATGATGTATAAGTTGAAACATGTCAAACTGAAGGGCAGATTACATATGTCTTGACCCAGGTCAGTTCTACACCTTGGACATCTTTGTCATGTGAAATGCAACAAGTTCCTCACTATGTCTCTTTCCATGATGTAGTTTGAACAACTTGGAAAGTTTTGTCACTTTTCAGAATTACTCTGTTTCCATGTTTTTTTTTTCCACCAAAACACTTTAAAGTTTTTCTGAAGTTCTCACATTTTCCTTGAGGTTGTTAACCAGCTTTTCTTTTTATCATTGACTGTTGGAGTGTATGTGCTTTATGTTTTTAAGCTGAGATGATTCCTTGTATTTATGAGATGGCCTTGAAACAGAACCCGAAGAATGAAGAATTATATTCTCACCTCTTTATGGCATATGTCAGAATTGGAGATTACAAAAAGCAACAACAGGTGAATCTCATTCACTCAGATTTTAAAATTTACTTTTGCCTAAATGAACCCAATGGCTTTCAGGGCTTCTTATAAACATTATGCAAAGATGTTTGTGCCATTTTCTTACATTGCTGGTTCAAGCTTTTCAGTTTCAAGTGTTTTATGCCTGTAAAAGAAAAGCAATGAGATTGTAGGGTTACCTTCTGCCTGAAGTGAATTTGTTTGCAAATTGAAGTGAAATAATGTTGCCTGAACAACTTTCCTTATTTCAAACTCCTTCCCAACCAATATTTGCAAATGTTTTATTTCAAATTTAAATCAACCCTTTCTCAGTGTGTCAAGTAGTGTTTGCAACCTTGGAGGGGTTAGTTTGGCATTGGAGAAGATAGAGTTCTCGAGCTACTATGCAGAATTATTTGGTCAAATTGTAATTGTCAGGCCTGTATTTCACCCAGAGTTGAAGAATATTTTTTACCTGTTAGGTAACATCATTTTCTTGCAACTTCATGTCTCAATGCAAATCCTGGAAAGGAGACCCTAGTTTACAAACTTTATGTGCTATTGCCTCCAGGGCTCAAGTCATCAATTTTATGTGGGATAGTTATTAAAAACAAACAAACAAACAAACAAACAACAACAATAACAACAACTGAAAAACCCTTGTGAAATTGTTACAAATCTCTCTCTTGTCCACTTGTCGTGGAGTCCAATCTATGTAACTGGTCATTGAGTTTGTGGAGATTAATTGTGAATGTACTATTGTTTTTGCAGGTGGCTATGAATCTGTATAAACTGTTCTCTAAGAACCCTTACTACTTCTGGGCTGTCATGAGCATTGTGATGCAGGTAAAATATTATCCCTACTTTTAAAGATGTGTTCCTTTGATCATGTCATGCAAGTTATTTGTATCTATAATCATGCATGCTCACTCAAAGGAGATACTGTTCGAATAGAGAGCTGTTCATAGTGCTTTAAACCTCTACCCTTGAACCTTTAAACCTTAAGAGTGACCATTATCTAAATTCTCCTTATAGTAATACTGCTGAGTCATTCATTAAGATCATAAGATCATTGTAAGAAGAAAAGAAATGAATTTTAACCTAAGAGGCTTTGATTGTTACACAAAGGGAACATGTAGGTTGTAAAGGGTTAAAACAAGGCAAATGAAATCATCATCAACATAAACTACAACTGTTAGAAGAGATGCTGAAAATGAAAAAACTACACACCCCTGTAGACCTTCACTTTGTCATGGCATATTTCCCTCAGAATTAAATCATCTCTACTGGCAGAGGAAGGGTGGAGTAATTCTTGTTGCATGCTGTTCTTAAGGCTGATAGTTGGGTGAAAGCATGTGGTATTGATGTGTAAAACATCTTTCAATACTGTGGAGGGTCACGATTTTAGCTCAATTACAACTTTTGTTGACAATTCAGGGTTGTCAGTTCAAAATTTATACAGAGTTCTGTGTCTTTTATAATAACAACCTTTGGTGAGTCAACTATATTTGATTAAGTTTCCCTGTAGTTCAATTGTAGAATCTATTTCAAATTTTATGTTTCAGGGTATAATGGCTAGTGAAGAGAAACTTGGAAAAACTATGCTTTTTCCTTTGGCTGAGAAAATGGTTGAAAAATTTGTAAACAAAGGCAAAATTGAAGCTGAAGCAGGTGCAGTATTTTTTAGTTACCTGTTGCTATCCCCTAGATAGCCATTTATCCTGTGTTCAGTGTTGTCCAACCTTCAAACAACAAAGGCGAGGTTTTTAAGGGAGTGGGAAACATGAATCTTTATGTCTTAAGCTTGTCCATAGTTTCTGAAAGAAGCCATATGATGGAAATATCTTGCATCATGTCAGTTCTGAATCAGTTTGATGTTTTCCATTCTTGAACATACAAGTCACATTCCTTTTAGATTTAGTACTGCCTACTGTGTTTTTTTTTATGTCATGAAAATTAAATCTTGATAGTCTCCTTCAAGCTGAAAGTAGCACATACTGAGGCAATGCATTAGCTGTCACAAGTGTGTGTGGAGTTCTATATTTTTGAATACTTTGGGCTTACTGAAATCCTTTACTTTGTCAACCAGTTTATCAGTGGGCTTTGCCAATATGGTACTGCTTTAGACTTGTTGGTGTGTAATTACAGAGTTTGATGCACTAATTTTAATTCAGTAGTTATATCACAGGAAAAAAAATTATCTGAGCACTTTTCCTTACATTTTTCACTTTTCAGAGGTTCATCTGTATTTAATGATTTTAGAGAAGCTTGAATGTTATGAGAAGGCTCTTGGTGTTCTTAGAAGTGATTTGGCTGGTGAGTGTGCTTGCATTAAAACAAACAAACAAGCTGTGTTTTTGTAAACTTTAAAAGAAATGTGCCAGTATCAATTTCATTACTTTAAAATCATCATCATCCTTTTCATCATATAAAATGTAGGATATAGGGATGTTTTTACCTTGAAAGGGCCCTTGTCTCCTCTTGCTAGTTTACAGACTCTCCTTTCAAATAAACTCTTATGTATAATCCAAATGAAATGTGTCACAATTAAAATCTCAACTGGCTGGAGGCAAACTACAGGTAATTGACAATTTGCAAACATGGTCAGAGAGTTAACCTTTTGACTCCTAATAGTAACTAGCATCTAATATCACCTTATATTATCACCCCTGAATCACACAGTAAATTCACAAGATTTAAAACAAATAATCACCAACTAAAGAAGCTCTTTAATGACTGTGAATATGTGAAAATCATATATGTGAACTGCGGGTAAAGAAATGAATATGGAAAGGATACTCACAATAAAGAACACTACTTGAGTGACAGGGAAAATAAGGCCTGAAAAAAAAAATTCAGGCCTGTACGAGATTTAAACCCATGATCTTGTGATACCTGTGCAGCACTCTACCAACTGAGCTGACAAGCCAACTGGGTGCTGGTTGTTATGTTGGTTCCAAATAAACCCTTGAGATGCTGAATAAATAAAGAAGCTCTGGATTGTTAAACAAATTCTCCCTGTCGGCAACTTAAGAAATATATGGAGAACAGTATGGAGAATATGCATACTGATTTTGAGGCGTAAAACGTTAAATTTGGAATTAACCAGGACTTGCACCTAAAACCTGTGGATTGCAATTCTACTTCTCCCACCAAGGAGTCGTACTCCTTAGATCTTTGATTAATCAGGCACCTTTTGTCCATTTCTTAGCTAAACTGATTAGTTACATGGATGAAAGAGAAGAAAAAGAAGCCATTTATTTAACAAAACTCTGCAAATGGCATGAAGCAAATATAGCATTTAAGAAACTCATTTTGAGAAGGTATTTGGTTAGTTGTATTTAATTTCATGTTATTTGGTTAAATTTATTATCACCATTTGCTCTTAGCCTTGTTATTAAGATGAATTTCAATGTATTTCAAAAGTAGCCTATTGTCATGACTTAGGAAATCCTCTTTTGCTTCTGATTCAGCTGTGAATAATAGATATGTCAAGAGAAGTACAGTATTGGCTAGGCTGCTAAACAATATAAATATGAATATTCAGGCATACACTTTTTGTTATAGTATGGATTTTGAGCTTTATTAACTCCATAACTCCAATGAGTGACCAAGAAAGAATTTCTCCTTACAATATCAAGCAGGCAGGTGATGAGAATAATGAAAAATGTCAATTAAGGGATTATTAGTTGATTCAATGCCAAGTTCTCCAAACTAATATTATAAGAATTGTGTACCAGACAGAAAGGAGAATCACTAATAAGATCTTGGGAATGAAAAGGTTTAACTTAATTGGAGATGTACTGTAATTTTTGTTTTCTTATTTCTCCTAGGCCAGATCAGTGGTCATACTACCAGTCATACCTAACCTCAGCTTTCTCCCTTATAAAACAAAACTGGAAACCAGTTGATGAGTCAGAGTAGGTTTCATTCACATGATTTTTGTGAAGGGTGATAATAATGTGTAGAAGAATCTGATGAGAAGGTGATGGGTTTTTCTGGGAAATATTTCAACTTATGAATAAAGAGCTTTTCAGTGAAAGTGTTTTAAAAGAAAAGCCAAGTACATTCCAGCCATAAACTTCTGCACATTAAATCTATGGATTGACTTCTTGATCACATAAAAATCCAAATTCTTTATATTTTTCCAACTGCACTCTTGTTTAGTCATTTGTGTACTTTTTCTTATTTGTTTTTCAGAGAACTTCCTGATTATTCTTTAGAAATGATTGACAAATTCCTAGCATCTGTTGTGGAAGCTGAACAAACTAAAGAAAAGAGATCATGCAGAGGACCTTATTTGGCACAATTGGAACTGGAAAAGCTTTGTAGTCAAGAATGTATTCACTGTGATTCAAGACAGAGTGAGTTGCTTGGATACATGTATTGAATAAACCTAAATGTGCTGTGTCATTGAACCTGGCTAATGTCGGCAGTGTTTGTGTCTATACAGGGTAGACAATAATGTATATTTTCAAGGTTCCCTAACCCCCCATATTTGTGCCTTTGACCAAAAAGGAAAGATACTTAAGACCATCTGACTCTCAGAAACATAGGCATGCATAGCATTCAAGAGTTATAGTTTTGGCTGGGTGGGTTGAGATGGGTCACCATGGTATGATTGATGTGAGATACATAACCTAATGGGGCAATCTGATTAATTGCAATAATGGTGCAAAATACATACCCTTATGTGGCAATCTGATTGATGCAAGATACTCACCCAAATGTGGTGATCTGATTGGTACAAGCAACTTACCACTCTCCATACTAACAAAGAGTTTTTTTTCTTTTTAAATAACTCAAAAACTCCTGATAACGAAAAAAACACACCTATTTGTAAACCCACCGTGCAAACTCCTTTGAAGTCCTGACATGTTCTTTAAAATCTTTAAATGAATCAATTTTAATTTATTTGAAAATCTATTTACTCATCTCACTTAATCTACATGTATCTACACGACACTTTTGACACTAGTGATCATGGAAGTGCCTAGGAAGCTCAAAATTTATGAATTAATCTAGGCCTAGCAGGGGAGAATCTTACCTCAAAATTAAAGGAATTCAGGTTAAAAATCTGGCAAAGGATTTGCTCTCTTGTTGCAAAATTATCTGTTCTTGTCTTCTTTTAGTGTAATGGGACATGTTACCCTGGAGTACAATGTGGGTCACAAGCACCTTTGGGTTCGAAATTGTCACACGAAACTTTTGTAACAGTTTTGCTCAGGTTGCTCATAGGGTGGGCAGTGCTATCTAATACTTGTATGATGTTTAGGTCCAGGTGCACAAAACAGATTACTCTATCATCTGGATAGTGATTTATCTGCTACATAGCATTATCTACCTTGGAAACTATTAGAGACAAATGTGTATGTGTGGGCCAGTTTTCTTAGTGGGCAGAAATATAAAATGCTTTAACTCATCATGAAAGCTTTGTCAAGAATAGTCAATCTGAATTACAGATTTAAATTATAATTCAAGTTGTAGACACATAGTTAGCTTGTTCCATTTTTTGTGAAATGCTAATGATGTTTGGTGTGTTTCTCTTATTTTTATTTTCAGGTTCAACTTCTAGTGTATATTTATTAATAGAGTATTTTAAACGGTTTGGAGACAAGCACTGTTGTTTCTGGGACCTTGAACCTTATTTACATCTGAATCTACCAGAAATACTGGACAAAGAAAAGGTAAAATAGATTGGAAATAAAGTCTTGAACCCTCAACAGTCTTTAACACTCAGAAAAGATGATGCAAGACAGAGAGTATTTTTATAGAGTATTTAAGTCACAGCATGTCTGTCCAAAAATGCACACAATAATGAATATGGCAAATTTTACTGATGAGAATTATGAATTTGGTGAATGCTGAATATGGCAGAACGTTGTCACATTCATGGTAGCCTCCTTAAAACTCGTTTGCGATAAAGTTGGATATTGAACAGATTGAATGGCTTGGCTTGTTTGGCAAAACTTGTCATATCTGCCATTCTCGCCCAATTTAAATCATTTGTCAAAACACTGTCCAGTCCATTACCAAAAAATCTTGACCCTTTGTTTTAGTTTGTGGAAGCATTAAGGAATGCCCTTCCATCAATCAGTGATGAAGATCCTGAATCATCTCATGTATGTAAAGTATTGTTGTGGCTAAGTTTTACAGAAGTTGTGAGTAGTAGTTACTAGAAAGTCTTCAGTTAAGGAAAGCTGTGAGCCTGTTGGACTGAGTGAGTACAATTCAGGGAATAATCTGGCAAATGAACAATTCAAAACTAATGAAGTACATGATTTGAGTCTTGTCTGATTACCTTTGGGTTGTATGACATGAGGATCAGTCACTAAAGAATTCTATCTATATTGAATTTTGATGCTAAAAATTCTCTCTCATTCAGTATTTTGCAAAGCAAAGAGAGCAATCAGAAAGAACCCATTTAAATAAAGAAAAATGGTGTGTGAATGGTAAAGGTGTCCAAGAACAGTTATTAAGTAATGAGAATTTTGTAAGAGTAATGTAAGAATTGATCATACAGTAGCTGAGGATTACTAATGTCAGTAGTCTTTGGTCCAAGTCGGTGATAAATAGGGTTGTGCTAGGTATTCATATGGACTCTGTCTGGCCATTGCTAGTTTCTACCCTCTGTCATTCAATTGCCCTCTAGGTCAGTAGTAGCAGAAGGTGCAGTAGTTCTAATCTTAGCTGCTTTCATGTACACAAATACTATTTAGTGATTGTGATACTGTTTTTTTTCTTAGACAAGACTGATGCTGAGGAGAATGAATATTGAACTGATTTCAAGACATTTAGGATTTCACTACTCTCTTTCCTGTGATGAAAAAATTGCTTTATCAAAGGAATATATGAAGCAGCACAAAGATGGTTTGGTTTATGGTTAGTACGCTATTGTGACCAAAATAGCAATTATTTTGTAGATACATTTATGTAGATCCATGAAGCTTGGCTTCATGTCATAGAAAAATAAGATTGTTGTGTGGATCAGTGTAGTAAGTGTGCTCCAGTTTGTCAAGTTTGGTTATGTGAAAGCCATAGTGGGAAGATGTTGAAGAGCTTACAGTCTATATTGTGCATTCTAGGCTGAACTTTTGTTAGGACATTGATTGTTGGGCAAGATACTTACCAACTCTAAAAGTAAGGCCTGACCCACTTCCTCAGTACTTACTCTCCTAGGCCTTTCTATTTCCACAAGTACATAGTGTACAAGTAGCACACATTTAGTGGGTGGTATTTACTGATTACAGATGCAGCTGTTCAGATTAGGGACTCTGGGATAGTTTAGCATCCCACACAGGGGTCGCAACAAGACTTTATTCTAGCAGACTAAGAGGTGTAGGTTCAAGCTTTGGCTGGGTCATTGTGTTGTGTTTGTGGTCAGTGCTCTTAATGGCTTCATTCAGGAGACACTAGCATTAGCTTTGGCAATATGGGTTACTTGGCCTTGAAGACAAGTGCCTTAATGGCATCTCCCATTATTTATGTGTGTGAGATGACTTGGTGGTTGTTATATTGGATGTCCAATCGAAAGGTCAAGGTTTAGGCCCAGACTGGGTCTCTGTGTAGTGTTGTTGGACTAAAGACTTGACTGTCAGACTACCTCTTCCTGCTGATGGCTAACAGCAAACTTTTAGGAAACTTGATGAATTGTTGGGGAAAGGAGGCCTTAGGGCCTTTCCATACAAACAATCATAACTAGAATTGTCCTGACAAAACCAAAGAACAAATTTTGTCATCCAAATTTAAAATTTCAAAGCTGTCCAATTCCATTAGCACCTGATCTGTTCATAAGACCAGCTAGCATAGTTTGCCAAAGGATTCCATGTTCAATTTCCAGAATTTATCCTTAGTCATTATAAAACTTTAGAATCCAAGTAAACTGATTTCAGTTCAATTACACACTGGTCGTAGCTTTTATGACAAATGATCCACAAGTTTATCGTGGTTTTGTTTCAGTCAATTTGTCCAGTTTTTACTCAGGACAAATTTTTTTTGGTGGTGCATTTGAAGATTTGTCCACTTCAGCCAAAATTTGTCAAGTTGCTGAAAACCATCCACACCTCTGAAATGTTGCCGATGACTGAAAATTTGTCTAAATAAACAACTTTTTCACTAGTGTGGAAAGGCCCTTACTTGGGAAGGACCATTTCAGGGGAGTGGTAACACTCCCTGTATCTTCATTATCATGAAACTTGAATAACTTCTGACCGTAATGGTTGGCTATTTGTGGCTCAATTCTGGAAGTATCTTCTTATTGAATTTAATCATTATAATTATTTGTCAGGTCAGAGTCTTTTGCCTACTGAACTTCAGTACAGTGATGGGTTTGCTCAACTGGCTTCACACCTTTTGTTAGAAGTAAATTATGAATCAGGTATTTTTTCACAATATTGGTAGTAATTATTGTGGCCGTAAGTTCTTAAAATGATAATTTCTTTACTGTATGGTGTCCTTGTAAAATGATTATTCATAGAAAAGGTGATTAATTATCCACTTGCATCAGCATTTTTGATAAACTGAACAAATTGCCAATTGTCTAATTTTTTTTTTTAATTATGCTAACATCTTACACAGCTAACACACATGTGAGCCTTTTCTTTTTTTTTAGCCAGAAAAATTAAGTTAAATTGAACTGTAGATCAAATAATTAATTTCAAATAATATGTGGTATAGCAGTACAGCCAATTGTGAATTAGCAAGGTCTTGGTCACAAGTTTGGTTGCTGCTGGTTAAGTTAGTTTCACCTAATACTCTTTGCATCAATTCAATGAAGAATTTCTAGAAACTCTTCTTAACAGCAATTTGTTTTCCAATGAAGGAAATACAGACATGAACTGGCACCTTCTTATCATGTTAGAGAGCGCATTAAAGGCAAGTCCTTCCAACCATCAGCTCAAACTCCTACTGATGAAAGTCTATTGTTCAATGGGTAAGATTTATCCTTCCATATAAGTTCACTTTTAAATGCACTTTGTCTTCTCAGTGTGTCAAAAATTAAAAAGAAGAATTCATCTACAGTGTAGCTATTACCTTAATATCAGAGTCTTACAGTAATGACTGTCATGAATTTTAAATGGGTTGTGCTGTTGGCTTTCCAATGATGAGGCAAATCCAACTCTTATTATAAAGTGATAAGATGAGGAGAAACAGAGCTTCACTGAGGAAAGGCCTACAACAGTCTTCTGTATTTGATTATCATGTTAATCATGGACCAGGATTGTGTTGCAGAGTTTGCATGGTCTTAAAAGCAATAGTTGGAATGCCTATGTTGCATAGATAGGGAGGAAGTGCTTGTGTACATGTGTATGGTAATAGGTGTGTAAAATTAAAAGTGAATACTATTTCTTAGGAGCAGAGAGTAAGTTTATAACAAAATTATGTGTAGATTTTGGCAGTGGCAAACTCAAGGTATTACTTTGTTAATTATTTTTCTGTTGAACTGGAATTCAAAGTATAGGTTTTCTATCATGTTAGGAAAACTGAAGAACCAGGAAAAACCATGTAGCAAGGACAAGATTCTGTCACCACCTCAATTGAGATGTTACCCATAGCTGCAGCAAAGGGAGGGGAACAATCTTGCCTATGCACCCCTCCTCCCATACCCTACATACCACAAAATATCCGGAGAGTGGATGGAAAACTTTAATTACTGAATTACTCTGATGAATAGAAAAAACCCTGAAAAGTTGGTCAATGACATAAGTTCAGGTAGCCCTGAGTGAATGACAGATAAGTGCTTTTTGGCTTCTAAGATGACCATCTAATTCACTCCTGTTTATAGGTGCTGTTAGTCCTTGTCTAGCACTTTTTGAAGGATTAGAAATCAAGCACATCGAACAAGATGTTGTTGGGTAAGAAGAAAAGGGAAACTTTCCTATCAGCTATAATTCTGACTGATTGCACAGATATTTGCACACTTCCTTGAAGCAATGTTCCAAGTTACTTCATGCTATAGAGGCTGGGAGAAACTCCAGCTGGCTTGAATACTTAAGGCTTGAGTACAAACTTCTATCTTTCTGAGGGACATCTCAACCTGGGGAACACTTTTTCAGTCTTCAGTGTCTTATCATACAGATCATTAGTTGAAGGAGTGCAGTTACATGTACAGGAGAAGATTTTGTCATTAATACTTTTAAAACACAAAAAACAAATTGCATCATATGCACAAATCACAACAACAGCATAACCTTTGCATCCTTTGAAATAACATAGTTATTTTCTGAGGGGCTAGATAATCATTTTTCAAGATGCTTTTTGAATCCAGGTTTTTTTTCTTCAGTAATGAATGGCATAGTAACTAAAATAGCAATGCTAAAGATTATTTCATTTTTCCCTTTATGTATTTTTTTTCCAGTTATACTCTGACACGATACGTTGAAGCCCTTGGTCATTTTGAGGCAGCTTCATCTGTGTACTTGACCACTTTAAAATTCTTTTATGGAAACCAAAAAAATGTAAGTTACACACATTATTTGTCAGCTATTAAATTGTGTACAACATCTTAACATCAAACTACAAAGAGGGGTGAAACAGCAAATAAGAGAGATAGCTTTTGATCCACCTCTCTCCTCCTATGTCTTGCTCTGTCCTATTTCTTCTCCCGTAGAGATTGTTGTTGTAAGTGTTGATTGCCCTCACATTTGCAGGTAGTACACAATAAATTAAATCTTGTTTGGAGAAAGTAGACTCTCAGAATTGGATAGAAAAGCAAATAGGTCACAGTTCCGAGATCAATTATCTAAAAGTGATATTCATGTCGGCAAGTTCTGTTGTCTCAAGTCTTCAGATATGAAGATCGCTGTGTTTCTTTTTAGACCCCTGAACACATCATAGCTGCATACAAGTATGGATCATTTGAAAAGGTGAGATAATCATTTTCAGTTAAATGTGGATCAATTTGACCCTCCCAAGTAATATTATGCATTGTCCAAACAACAAGACAGTTGGGCAATATTCACTTAACCCTTTAACTCCCAAGATCTGATTGTTAATTCTCCCCTCCAGCTGCCACACATTTCCTTGTAAAAGAGTCACTTGAATTTGATGTTAGATCAAGACTATTAACTTCTACCTGATAAGTTTGAGTATTCTCGATACACATTGGGTGGTTAATGTTTGGATGTTGTAGGGAGAGGTTACATGTTAATCATTCATGGGAGTTAAAGGGTAAAGGAGGAAGTGCATTTCATGTACTTAAATTACATCAACTGGTTCATATGTTTTGAATCTATGTTATTAGTAGCATTGGGTAGCATCATTAACAGCAGATGCACTTAATTTTCTTTAAATAATGGATAACATTCTGTGGAAAGGACTTACTAGGCAAACTGTTGCTATATACTCATGAAAGCAACACAATGTACAGTAAGTGGACATTGTTCTGTCTTTTTGTCTCCATGCTTGCATCTTGATAAGTTTCTTTAATTTACTATGCTTCTTGTCCTACAATGACTTTTTTAAAATTTTGGTGTTGTCAGATTCCAGAGTTCATTGATCTCAAGAGACGACTTGATCTTTCACTGCATTTTGCCACAGTAAATTATGAAAACATGCTCCTTGACGTGTTCACCAAGGCAAACAGGTTATAACATTGTTTTGTCTTTTAAAGCATTTCTGTAGCAATAAAAATTTTTCACACATGGGCCATTCTTTTTAGCCTTTCAGATGTCCAAAGTCATTTTGATGAAAAGAGCTTGCTTGACAAGTGTTCTGTAGAGAGTAAGTCTTTTTTCTATGATTATTCTTCAAGATAAAGTTTGTGCCCAAGTGAAAACCATCACCATTGGGTCTTACTTGGGATAATGTTGGGAGATTTCATCAGTCGAGATATTGGTAGGGTGATTTTCTTTAACTGTGAAATTGATGTGGTTTTGTTGTGCCATCTCCTGTGATTTGTTGAAAAACTTGTCTACAAACTTTGCATGATGGTAATTGCTGAATTACCATTACCTGTTACCTACTTTTTTTTTTAACCATTTTTTTAATGGTTAATGTGGCTTTTTTCACTTTGGGCCAATGATTTAAACTTTGAGTGTAGGTAGCATCAAATTTCTTCTTACAATATCACCCATGAATGAAATATTAAGGTAACGAGAAGAAAGGAAATTATAACCTATTTGTACTAAAGAAACTTTTGATTGTCAAATAAATCCTCCTTGTCAGCACCTCAGGAAATGCACAGAAACAGTATGGAGAATATGCATACTGATGGTTGGGTGTGAAAGGTTAAGCATGAAGGAGAATATAAAAAGAGCAAGAAAGAAATTATGATTTGTACAATATTTCACTTTGAATGGTTGTAAGTATGCAGTTAATGTCTCTTTAGAATACTGGATGAAAGACCTGAAGGATAACAGGGATTTAAAAATACTTCAAACCTGGGATGTCCCAGAAAGGTATGTAAATACTGGGTGTGATTTCCTCTTCATTTTGGGATTCATCTGAACACTGATCTGGTTTTCTTAATGTAACTAGCCACAAATAATTTTGATTGTTTAAAATAATCTTAATTTGTAAGTTACTTGGGGAGTGAGTTAAGTTTTAGTTGATTGGATGTCTCAACATCACACACCAGTGATACTTTCACATTCTGACAGCCTTTTCAGTGATGAGTCAAATCCAACTCCTATTTTTTAATCATAAAATGAGGAGAAGTAGAGCTTTCCTGAGGAAAGGCTTCAGTATATTTACTCTCAAGAAACAACTAGTTTGAGTTTTAAAAAAACTTGAAAGGTTTAGCCTGTTAGATTGACCTTTGATTAGATATTTGGTCTGTTCATTAATGAGTTGGTAAGTGAAGTAGGTATGTTTTTATTTAGTACTGATTAATTTGAATTTTTTAGGCAGTTGTCAAAAGAGCAGCAGTTAAGATGCGAAGAGCAAGAGGTGAGTTGAAGTGTTTTTAAATGTCTTCTCTTTGGACTATACTCCTAATTGTTGTTAGATTAAAATTTCCCTATTATTATTATTATTGTTATTATTATTGTTATTATTATTAACATGTTGGTTGATATTTCGGTCAAAGCTGTGTTTTTCACTTGTTTCATAATTGTAGACTCCATACTTATCACTGAGTTATCCTGCTGAATAATGAAAAACAAATTTATTTCTTTGTTTGGTATGCAAAAGGTAGCTCACGTCTGCTCTATTTTACAGGTACTCTGGTTAAGGTTGCGGTTCCTTATTCTGAGAGCCCTTGCAGTAGCTGTCTCTTTGATACCAAAACCTCAACAAAATATGCAAAACATGAATAATGGAGAAGCTTCCCCAGCTTATCCTTTAGCAGAAGTGATTGATGAATTGAAGGAAACATTGCAGGAAGTTGATTTGCACCCAGGAACAAGGGCAAAGGTGTGAACAAAATGACAGTTGGAGAATCAATAGAACCAGGAGCCCATTACTTGGCTCCCAAAAAAAATTACCAATAGTTGATTTAAAAAAATGTAAATCCTCAGATGGATTTGAAACTTTGACAGAGTTTTAGTTTACAGCTGGCTTCTCCCAAATCTTCCTTGGTACTCTACTTTGCACTGTAGTTGTTAGCAAAAGAGGAAAATGTTGTAGATCAATTACTGTACATATTTATTCAGCTGTATGCTGATCCTGGCAATAGGCTGAGACCCCAAAAATCAACTTTACAAATGCAAATTATAAATAAAAAACACTGGGCTTTAAGCAGAGATCCATTACAAAACTTTATGTTTAACAAAGACCTAACAATTTTTCACTGATATGCTAATGCAACCTGACTTACTTTGTTTGTAAAGCTGCCCTGTCTGGGTCCACCAAGTTCAAGGCTGCCAGGGTTTTTGGATGGTCAGCATGGAGCAATGATTGTAGCTATGGTAACTGTTTGCCATGAATGTCATAGTTTACATCATTCTTCACAAGGTGTTTGTTATTTTAATTTGTTTTATCCCTCTAATTATTTTTATTTTGCCTCAAAATCAAAAAATGTGAGCCAAGAATAAGTCCGGGAAGGTGAAGTTTTCAAGCAGCAGCATTCCAATGATGCGTTCAATCCATCTCCTACATTTTTAATGAGGAATAATAATCATGATAACTGAGGAATGTGGTTGTTATGAAAACAAGGAATAAACTAAATGTGATGTAACATTTTGTAAATACTGTTACACCACAAAAGTTTAATAACTGACACAAAATATAATGGTGAGGAAAATGTGATAACCTTTGTGACAACACTTTGACTTAAAATATTGTTTAAAAAAATGTATTACTTTTTTTGTTAAAAGTTAATGAATTTAGCCTTACTGTGTTTTTCTTGGATGTTTTCCAGTTTGTGTCAATTATTAAATTTTGTGGTGTTCCATATGCAAGAAATCTCTCACACAGTAGGCATATATGCATATTTGAAGGGAATAAATGCTCATAAAACTTTGTCCTTTTATTTTAGGCTTTTTATGACTTTTTAGGACTGTTTTTTGTAGGCAACCAAATTTTTCTGTCTGGCAACCTGGCAACTGAAAAAACAATTTGGTCACTACTTTCACACATGCACTAAACACTGAATTTTAAATATTTTATTCTTTGAACAAATATTGAAGAAAATGATAGAAAGTATCTATCAGACTTGATACCATTCATAACTTGTTCTTTCAAACTCAAATATCTTTGTTCCCTTTGATCTTTTGAACAGATGCTGGTACAACAGATAGATGGAATCGTATAAGACACAACCTGGATGTAGTGACTGAAATTTTGAAAGGTAATTTCTCTTGGTACTAAAAGCTGATAATGATAACGATAATGATTTTTAATGATTCCTATCCTCAGAACTCTTTACTGTTCACTATACTACAGCAATGTCTTTCCAGTGATGTTACCAATCCATCTCTTATCTAATTTATGCAGAAACTGTAACTGACTGAGGAAAGACCGCTTAATTTAATTCCAGTATATTTAGGTTAAGATGTTACACACTCAGATAGCCAAAAAAAACTTGATTGAATTTTTTTTCTAATTATTTCAACTTGAAAGTAAAAATGGTTTTGTATTTGGTAAAGATATTTTCTTACATGCTTCCTTCTCATGTGTAATAATCAACCTTGTGTGTTTTTTCACTTTCTTATTCGGTCAAATATATTTTTGGTAAGGAAGTTTTTTTTCTGCCATGGTATGCAGGTAAAGTGTACTTACAAGAATACAAGAATTTCCTTCATAATATAATATTTTACTGTAACATTTGGCTTGCTCCTTCCCAGCTAGCTCTATAGAATATTGATTTTGTACATTAATACTGACCCTATGAAAAGATTGTGGCCTTTGAATTTAGACTTAACAAGAAACTGAAGTTCAGCATACTTTATTTTAAATGAGCACAGTTTCTCAGTAAGCACCCTTTTTCTCTTTGTTTTATCTGAAATGAAGCTGTGAATGCCTACATGAACACTTAATTAATGTCCTGTGGATGTCTCCTTAAGACAGCTTTCACTATTAATATTATTACTATTTGGCATCATGCCTGTAGCAGAAAAGTGAACGCAGAATTTTGAATTTCCCTTTTTCCCATCAAGCCTAAAGAGACACTTGTTTCCTACTTAAGCTAACACTATGAGATTGTTTCATGTCTGTTGTCAACAAACCAATTTTTTCTTCCACTAATATATGTGTACTGCTGTTTAGGTTGTATTTCAGATTGTTTAAGTAAGCTCACCACAGGCAGTGGAGAAAAAACAATGTTCAATGGATATGTTTTAGAAACTTTGGTTCTCTTGGTTGAGGTAATTGAGAATGGAGTATTTTCCATTTCATGTTAAGAGTTATTGTTTAGTTAGTAACTGTAATTATCAGATTGAGAAGGTCACTGAATTAGAATTGGCTCAGAGAAGGATATTTCATGTTTAACACTCAGTTTGAACTAGGTTACAAATTCATGCTCTCACATAATTATCTTGCTGTCACATATCTGTGGTAGTTAAATAGTTAGCAGTAGTTAGTGGCTAATTTTCAAGGGCTTTGATAATATTGCCCAGAACTTTTGTGTACACTATGGCTGAAATTTGAAGATTTGAATTATAGCTTGATAGCTGTAACTTATGATTTTGGATAAAGTGGTGTGTCAATTGTTATAAGTTTGATTCATACTTTATGTCTATACATACTGGATTTATTTTGTGGGACAATGTGGTTATTGCCACAATGACACTTGCTTTATGAATACTTGGATTTGGAAGATTTGTATTGTAATTTAACTTCACAATTTCTTCTTTTGCAGAGCTGTTGTTGTGTCCTTCTTTTAGCAGCTGTATGCTGTAGCTTTTTACAAAAAATGTCAGGTAGCAAAAAGACCAAGAAGAAGAAACCTGCTCCCACAAAAACGGTTAGTAAAGAGAACATTATGACATAAGGCTCACTCCAATGATCAAGTTTGACTGACCAACCATCTGGCTCATGGACTGATTGTCTGATTGTAGGACTGTCTTTAGAACTGAGTAGTTACCTGATCAAGTCTAATCCAGTGGCACAAGTTAAGGTTAAACCAAAAAAAAAAAAAAAAAAAAAAAAAGGAAGATTGGAATGAGTGAAAAATCCTAGTGGGGCTTGTAAATGATGCATTTGAGATCTTAATTGAAGAACAGGAGGATTCTTACACAAATTTGAGCTTGAGTAATTTAGGAACTCCGTTCCAAAGCTTGCCTCAATAGCTTTATTTACACTAACACTACTGTACTTAATATATGTTACCTTTTTTTTTACCTCTATCAGAATGAAGAGATGGCACCATTTAAAGAGTTCCTATCAATGCTTAAATCTTCTCTCACATCCCTACATTCAGCACTTGTAGAAGTGAATGTTTCTCAGCTCTCTGATGAGCTTTTGGAACTGGATTTAGTTGAGCTAGACAATGAGGTAAAAACTAGTCCTACTCCTGTAGAGCATAAGCTATGCTTTGATTTGTGATAGATATATAAAAAAAGATGATTGCAACAAAAGTACTAGTTTGTAAAGTATTAAATTGTAAACATGTGATAATGAAAGTCAATCTATCAGTTAATTATCAAGTTTGTGTTGAAGAAGTGTATTGTGTTTGTTCCTCAGACCAAGTCTTCCATTGTGTCCGAGATTTGGGAGAAACTGCAGACCAGCTATAAACAGTCAGTGAAGGAGATCACAGAACTTTTACATCACAAAGTTGCTTTTGCAAAGTCTCTGCGTATTTAGGCATTTAACAATTAATACATTTCATCAATGGATATCACAACAAATAATTGAGAAATTCTTAGAGGAGAGTTGCATCTTGTATTGTCATTACCTTTTGTGTTGAAGAAGGCAAGATAAGACATGGAGTTGTGCAACATTAAGGTTTGTCAAGAAGGGATTTAATGTGTTGTTAGTGGCCAAAAGAGTGAAAGCTATGGCTTTGAAGGGAAGCTCTACTCGCACCTGCATGTTAAGGAAGTGGAAGGAAGGTGGTTCCTTTTGCAGAATGGTTTATGGTTAGTGGAAAAGCAGATGCCATTTTATCAGCCTTGCATCATTGTGGTTTTATGACGATACAAGTATGGTAAAATTGGTGATTGTAAAGATAATGACGATTCTGAAGAGTTCAGACCTTTTTTGGGGGATGTAAGCTTCTACTTCTCCATATCTTTTGGATTTATGTGTGATGCAAGTGGTTCTCATCAGCAAAAATGTGCCTCAATCACACAAGAACCCTACACACAGACTCTCCCTGCCCACAATGATACCTTCAAGCTACTATCACCATCTTGTGACTTAGTTCCTGGTCTGAACAAGTATATTGAAGACTTAGAGAATTTTGAAAAAGATGCAAGACTTTGATAAAAAAATAATAAATGTAACAAAGAAAAATATTTCAAGACCCACTACAAAGGCTGTCAGCCATCAGCTGCTGGTCAATCAGCTGACTGATGGCCAACAGGTTTTTCTGGGACCTGTTCTTCACAGTTACCAAAAGTCTGCAAAATGGTATCACTTGCCACCTCTAACATTACTATCACACAGTGACTTTGGAATCATTGTGCACTTGAATTTGTATTTCATAGTGTTTCATCATATTGATGGTACAACATGTTAGCTGATGGATGATTTGACTGGAAAATAAACATGTAAGCTACTTTTTTTTGGTTATGTGGTACACAAAGTGTAACCACCCATAGAAAAACTGATAACTTGAGTTGGAGAGGAACATCTGCACTTTTTATGTTAGAACACCTTTGGAAAGCAGTCAAAATAAGGACACCACAACATCAGAAAATAGTGCTAATATGAATATTTTTAAATCATGCATGGGTGTTTTTTTAGTGACCAATTTAGATGTCTGCCAGCATGATGCTGAATTTGATGCAAAACCAGATTTTTTTAAGCGCAATCCTTAGAGTAATAAAAACTAAATGTAGAGTGAAGTGTTTTACTGTCTTCAAGGATGTGAAATAAAGCTACTGAAATTCTTTATTATAGATGTATTGCTTATTAATTCTTGAGAAAGTATGACCCAGATTTACAAAAAAAAAAAATTTCTTCTATACCAGATTGGGAAATGCAGTGGAAAATAATTTCCAACTTGTTTCAGCCTTTATGTGATAAATATATAGTAGATATGTGGAATAAACATGTTTAATAATTGCCCTAGCTGAAGGAAAATATCTTGATTTGTTAGTGGTGGGCAAATTGATTACCTTCTGAAGTTGTTTCTTATTTCAAAAGTGCCCCCCCCTCCTTTCCCTTCCTCTGTTATATCCTCTTAAACGGGCAATGTGACAGGAGTTTGCAAACCCAGTTTATAATTTAAGCAATTATTTATTTGTTTATGTATCCTTGTTTTGTTATCACTGGGTTACAGCTGCAGTCAATTGAGAAATACACAATTTTGAAAGGCAACCACTTTCCTTACAACAAAATACTGTCACTTATAAGTCCATTAGTTTATTATACATCTTTGATTTACACAAATTCCATACAACTCTTCAGAGCCCTTAGGTAAAATATAGAATCTGTCTCAAAACAGTAACTTCCATCTGTTTTGTCAAATTCCAAGATCTTTCACAACAAAGCTGATTCCAAAGTGTCTCTCTTTCAATTAATAAAAATTTTCAGATCCTCTTAATTCCCTCCTTGTGCCTGACCTTGAAGCTGACTCATTAGCTGTTCATCTTGCATAGACATGGCTGTTAGTTTTTTGCCAATCCTATCATGTATTTCCAAATATTTAGCCACACACCGATCCAGGCACACTGATTCTCCTTTTGTTAGATCACCCTCTTTGTATTTTGGAGATATACACTTCTTCTGACAAGCCACAGTTAATCTGTAGGTTAAATTATGAATGCAACTTTTAGCCCCTGAGGGATAGGCTCCTAATTACTCCTAACAGTATCACCTGAATCACTAAATCAAGTGCTAAGGTTATGAGAATAAAGGAAAAGATCGCAAGGTCAAAAAGTACTTGATTATTAAGCAATCTCTCTTTGTTAGTACCTTAGGAAATGAATAAGGAACATTATGGAGAATATACATGCTGATCTTAGGGTGTTAAGGGTTAAGCTTAAGCAAGTCAGCTGTTCAACAAATCCACTATGCTGGGAGTTTTCTGATAACATTTAAGCAAACTAAGGAAAAATACAAACAGAGGGAGAGGATGGTGAACACTTGATAACATTTCTCGATTAAAAAAAAACCCATGGGTAAAGCTACAGAATACAGGGCCACTTATTAACATCTCGTTTAATCACTATACATCCCTCAGTGTTCTGCCTCCTTCTTCAAAGCATGCCGAGAAGGTGCCGACCTCGGTGGCCCAGTATTCAGTAGTTACTCTCAGACCTTAATAAGGGTACACAAAAAGGTCGCATGTATACTCAAATACCATTGTAAAATAAAAAATTCAAGCGTAAGAAGAAGAAAAGAAAGGGAACGATTCATCAAGTTAGTTAGTCAACAGACTTCAAATTGTTCATCACATTCAGGAAATGGTCATGGTCAAAACATCTCATGGGAACCTCGGAAAGTGCCATCAGTAGTCAATTACGAAATTCCCTCTTGTTCCTCTCTTGTTTCAATGCGTGCGTGACTTACGATCAACGCTTGAAATGAAGCAGAGTGCACTGGAAAAAGTTAGATCATTCCTCTGCATCTCACTTTGTATCATAGAGACTGACCTGTTATATAAGTCTGTCATCATTTCTATTTCCAGTTCTGCAACCATCTGTGCCTTAGCCGGGTCCATGATTGTATCAATAGCTATGTTTGACTATTCTTGGAAAGAAAATTTGGGCTGATGGCTCTCACACGTGTTTGACCGCCATTTTGAAACCGCTTCTATTGGGTAAGACCGCAGGCTAGCTACTGGAGGGTATTCTGTCGTGTAATAATACACGAAACGTGACGTAGGTCAACGAGAAAAGTAACGGAAGGAAAGAGTGGGAAGAAGATATTTCGTTGTCCTCCTCTGGCCCTCGAACTATCAGAGGCGATAATGGATAAGACTCCTATCTTACAACAGTTATCGTTGCTAAGCTACTGTGTTAATTCAAGGGGGAATAAAATCATTCAGGCGTTAATTTGCTTGACTGACTTTTATAATCCCTTAACCCGAAAATCCAAGTAATTTTCTTTCTACAGTTTTAGAGTACTTTCTGAACATTTCACAACGCAAAAGATACAGTCAGCTTATTAATTCAGTAACTGTGGACTTTATTAAGATTTCTTGGTCAAGAAGGCGATTTTTTTTGGTCGTTCAACCAGGAATTTATTGATGTTTCTCTATGAATCGGCGAAGTCATGTTACCTAATTTTTTTCTAACAGAAATTGTTTCTATTGTTTTAGACCAATTCACGAGCGCGAGTATTGTGTAATTTTCGCAAGCTATATTTCGCTGGACATGGTCTTCTTGAGTTCAGTCTTGGGAACCAGATTTTGTAACAGCTTTCTAAATCTAGGATCATTCATGGAGTCTTTCCTTGTCAAACTCGGCGATAACAGAGCTGGTAAAGTTGCTGACTGCGGGTGCGAGGCGAGTAACGACCGCGTGGAGACCACACTAAGTCGTGGTTTCTCTTGAATTTCTTCCAGTGAACAATATAAGCTACGTTCTGGCGAGGAATCATCGGAACAAAACTCCTCCATATTAATATAGCGTTTCTTTACACTTCTACTAATTCTTGGACTGCAACTCAGTCTTCCTCCTACTTCAATTGGTGGTAAGGTTAATAATTCTGGATTCGAGTTACCGCGTCGAAGTAACTTTTTTTTCATAAATTCTTTCTCCCATCGTAACCGGCTTTCCTCTTTCTTTTGCAAATGTTCTATATGGTTAATATGCTCTTCTAGTTTAGCGTCTTCGAAGACGTTGTCTTTTAAAATAACTTTTCCGGTCTTACTGTCCTTAACTTTGAGAGCCGTGTGTAAACTGCGAGTCAGTGACAGTTCTCTTGCCCTTGAATCCTTATCCATGTCTCTTGTTGTGTTTGTTTTTTGTTGATTGGCGATCAATAGGTAAATTATTTGGATTGACTGATCACCGTGGTACTGTGTTTCTTGGCGGGAAGGAGCCACTTAATCGCGCCAAGGTTTCGTTCCAATGTTCTTTAGACTGTAACTTAAACTGCTATGACACTGAATAATTTCTTTTTGATTTTTTTTGTTGAGCTATGTAGTACGTAAACGGAATTCGATTGTTGCGCCGTGGAGCATGCAATTCTTTACTATCATTAAATTTCTTTCTCCATTGTCCTAACATCATTACAAGGTTCATTAGGCAGCGGACTGTATTGCGTCTGCTTTGCTGAAGCCCAGGTACTTAACACACAGATCCACGAATATCTAATGAAACACTGGCTAACAATGTACTTACCGTTTCAAAAACTCGGGGCTAATCATGTCATCTGGTAGAGCATTGTCGTAAAGGTCGTAGATTTTCCAAAGATGGACAAGCGCAAACGTGACTGGACGGATGGGTTGCTGTGCCGACATGTCAACTCGCTAACAAGTAACTCACCGACATCACTGGTAAACTCGCCGAGGTTATCGATAAACTCCCCTTCTTTAGCTCCAGAAAAAGGGCTGTTAGTAACGCTCGAACTGTCAGCTTTAGAAAATCTTTACGAAGGCCAATTTACATTATCGACTCAGTTGAGAAAAGCAAATTTACTTATTTACCTGACCCTCTAATATATTGTCGATTAATCTTTTTTTGATATTGTTATATTTATCCCCTTAGGAATCAAAGGGAAATCGAAGCCATTCGAAAAATGACGGTGAAAGTTAGGAATGATAAGCTTGATAACTATGATGAAAATCGAAATAAACATAAAAATTTAGTCGAAACAACATATAGTCATAGAATTACTTCTATCGACGAGTCATGACACTGCTTACATACAAAGCCTCGTTTTATTTCCCCCCTGTTGAACCGCGTGACTTAGAGCACGACTTGAGTAGATCTTAATATCGATGGCTCATTAATTGAAGGTGGTTATTAGTCGAAAAAGAAACTGTTTTGTTGCTTGGGCGACCGACACGCTGAGTTGAGTTACATCAAAAAATTGATATACCGCATAGCCGAGTAAACTTCCGCAGCGAAGTATAAATGGCTGTCTCCTCAAGCTTTCGCTTTCGGAATATTCCCCGCGGGTACCACTGGGAGTTCTTGGTCCGATCGTTCCGCCAGGATCTTTAATCCTGACTCTAATTCTGATCAATAAATGCGATTTTCTGCATCGATCCGTCTTGAACCTTGGCTTCTAGAACTTTTATAAGGTCACCAACGAGTGAGTAAGGTTTGTGCAGTTTAGGGCCTTTGGGGGATAAAGACGACAGAGCTTGAACACGTCAGTCAGTTTAGCTGGGGTTTGATAAATATATAAAGGGATAAGTTTCTAAAGAAACTGTGGTGCTGCGTCGGTGGGAGAGTATAGCAGGTATACCATATTGTTGTTAACACTAAATTACCTTTGATAAATATACACATGCAGTCGAACTTCCACACTATGACCCCCTTGGGAACAGTAAAAATCGAGCGTTATTGTGAGATGGCCATCATAGAGAGAGACAATTATGACACCTTTTACTTTGAAGACTAAAACATTTTGATTCGGATGGTGCCTGTTATTTACAGATTAACTAAAATTCCTACTCCTTTTTAGTCATTAACGACTTTTTATATAAGTTTGTAGAAAAACGCGGGAAAGATGATCATTGATAGGTAATGGCTCCTGTCATTGGTTCATCTTGAAGGTAACTTGAGATGCAGGGCAGAGCCAACAAGAAAACTTTTGGGCTTAGCTTCCTAGTTCTCAATTTAACATTACAATTTTTACATCTCATCAATAATTTTGATAAATGTTGTAAAATAAAATGACTGTCGATCTCAGGTGGAGCCGTAGCGGTCGATCCAGCGTGTTCATATTAAAGAAAATTAATGCAATATTGACATAAATAACTGAAAAGCGAGGTGTCTTCATCTGTTGTAGGTTGGTATTGGAATAAAAATGGCCACATGGCTTCGTCATTAAGGTGTCAGTAAGACCTGTATAATAGAAGTCTTTATTGGAGGTAACGCTAACTATAGCGATAATCTTATCTTACGGCGCGGTGTATTCATCTTTACCGCGCAAAAAGAGGATGATTTTTTTTGGTGGACATGTAATAGCTACGATGATAGTATAAAGTAAAAAAAAACTTTATTAAGACAAGACGCCTAAAGGCGTTACCGTGGGCGTAGCATTGAAAGGAATTGTGCAGTTATTGCAAACTACCACTAAATAGTATTCCGGGTTTATCAAATTTCCTTTTGCAAAATTTGTCAAATTTAGCCGCTGGAATCCAAATCTTACTTCGCCTGCACTATTTTCCAATGCTGTCGCGTTTCGCCTCAGAGTTACTCAATATATCTTTGCATCGTAACGCAATGACCTTTGTTTGCACGGTTCTCTCCAGCTTGGAACGCAACTCGGAATGAAATGACCTCAGAACGCACTTAATATGACTGCCGGGTTTTTCGACCCAGTGAAATTGAAGATATGCGGAAATGAATTCCACAGGTTTTATTTTTTCAGAAAAGCACTGGATTATTTCCGTCCGCTTCTGATCACTACAGCCGCCAATGTTTACATAAGATAAAAATCGATAAAGATTTTACTCATTCCTATTGGCTAGCTTTGTAATTTGTCCTTGAAATGAAAAAGAAACCCAGCCGGATTTTTACCGTGGTATGCCACTGGCATCCCACGGAACAAGGTAACCCATTCAGCCCGAAGGCTGGCATCCATGGAGGCCTTGTGTCAAATATGCAATAATGACTACAATATATTAAAACTAAAATTACGCTAAAGATCTAAAATATATCAAGTAACTAGTAAAATCTCTAAAGCATGTTGGTAACTCACCGTTATGGGCTATCGTTCTGATCGCTTTGATTTACAGTCACAATTTATGGATTGCGTGACCTTCTTGAGATGATCACATGACTGCCTACGCAATTGATCACTACTTTCGGCAAACATATTAACTATCAAGCATGGCGGTAAGGAAGTCTTGTTTTAAGAGGTAGGTATTTTTCGTATTACATTGGTTTTCCCTGAAACCAGAAAATGAAAGTGCTTTATTCCATGAAAACTTTTTCATTATTCTGTCTGAAGAGCATAAAAGAGGCCAGCAGTTCGACTAGGCAATTTCTTTGATCAAGTGATGTTACCATGACCTGTTGTCAACAAGAAACTGTATTTGCTTCGTTTCTTCAAATTCGTTGAAGCTCAGGGATTCTTGCATTGACTGTTACAGCTCATCACAATGAGAACATGTCCATCTGTTTGTAGAAGGTCGTGGTTCAATGAGTGATGACATGAGTAGGTGATCAGCATGGAAACGCGGCGCAAATATCAAAACTTACAAACCTTCAGCGGACTTCTCACCTGGATTAAGAAACTTTTCTTCTTTTCAGAGGAGACTGAAAATAATTTAAATCTGAAGTACTACCCAGCAGCTTAATGCAACACAATTGTCTTAAAACTAGTTTTATGCAAATTCTTCGGTGTTATTTGGACAAAGCAGACTGTGTAAACCCTGCAGAACTAGACGGTTTCGAAATCTTCATATGGTTTGTTACTGGATGGCTGTTAGTGTTAGTGTTAGCCAGTTCCAGACAGTTGACCGTTCTAAATAGCTCAGCACAAGCTTTTGCTTGAATCTCCATTGAATTTTGATAAGTTCAGTTTGTCAAATGATTTACGAATAGCATTAATTACGTATATCACGCTATCAGAACTTTTGGATAATAAAGAATAGGCGATTAAATTATCTGTGACTCAAAAGTTAACATCAAACTCTTTTTTTCCAGGCATCATTAGTTCTTTCGCTACTTTGAACAAATGAACGAAAATTTCGGACGTTAAGAGCGAACTTTTCTAATTTAAAAAGACCGACACCAATTGAGTGACTTAAAGGAATTCTTTGAGTCTATGGGACCGTTTCTGAGTTTTTTTTAAAACCGAAAAAGCTATAGAAGCGGGGTAATATTTTTATTCGTGATCAAAATCAAGAGTGCATATATTGCTATTTTACAAAAGAGAATTTGTTTATCTTTTGTAAAATATTCCGATGCGAATCGCACTTAAATAGGTAACCTGCAGGGGAGTTTTGTAGGCGCGCGCGCAGCTGCCGGCTCGCCTCGGGCTATGATCGAGTGGATAACACTTATCAATATTAGAGTCACGCATGTTTGTTTGTCCTTAGTTTTCTTATCTTAGTTCCACCATAAGAATTTATTCAGAGGCTACAAAATTGTGTTTCCAATGTTCCATGCACTTAAGAGAGATCGTAAATGTTTTTGCCCATTTTTCATTAATTCATAGCCGAACGTTATGTTCTAAAATGTTATGAAGTATTTAGTTGGTTCATTTCGCAGAATTTCCCACTTGCGTTACTGAGAATTCCGCACACGCTGGTTCAGTAATCTTGGACCGTATACTTTCACTTGATCCAGGCTTTATTGCCGACAATTCAGCATTACACGTTCCGTTTTACGATCTATCTATTCCATTATAGTCTAATCGTAGGGTTACAAAAATTGCTACATTTATTAGCTAAAGAAATCCACACCCAGATACGTAATTTCTTCCGGGATTCAAGACTTACTCACGTTCTACAATGATTCGTGGGCACTAATTTCCTATCAAAAATGGCTTAACTTGACAATCATGCTGCTATGTTCCTGCGCGCTTAACGCCCTGGAAATACCTAATTAGATACATCACTGTTCGCAGAACTAATTTGATTATCCTACGTCGCTTCCTATTACATGCGACTTAAATTGTAACGTTAACACTGTGCTTTAACGGTAACGAAATCATAACTTACTTGATACACAATCAAATTTATAATAAATCAATGAAATACATTTTTAGCGTAGAAATGTTTTACGACAGTTCAGTATGAGTCAGTATTTAGTGACAATCACAGTTAGATTAACCAGAGTTAAAGTCACACGACCAGAGTTCACGCCAGAGGGAAGTAAGATTGACGGATGTAAGTAGCATTGTTTATCAGAGAACCAAGAGACTAAAGTAGACTACAAAAGACTGCTCGAGAGTCCTTGGTGCCTATCGCAATAGTGTGGTGCGGTCTGCAGCTAGTTTCCCCTATCATAGTGACGTACCTAGCAAAGGACTTGCAAACAATAAGTCAATTAGAAGTTAACATGCTGACGCCACTTTTGTCAATTGCTTTCTTGTTGTTATTTACTTTGTTTATCTTTAGCGTTTATACATATTTTTTCTCTCTGCGCCTTTTAGTTAAACCTTATGCACGCTTCACATTTCATTCACAAATTTCGAACCTATCTGGCTTGGTCTCCCTTAGTTGAGAAAAATTTCCGTAGACTTCCACTGCAGTTGGTGAATACGATACTATTTACACTGGCCGATTTTCTTGCTTTCTTTAAAATAGGTTTCAAACAAGGGAAATGTCGTTGAAACGCTAGAGATGAAGTTTTGGAAGCGTAGAAGACGAAGGAAGATTTTTTTCTTCAGGTGGCCATTTTGGCGTAGAGTCATCGTAGCTGGTTCGCTGCTGTCGTTTTTTGCTGTATTTGGAATTTATCTGGCAAACCATGCATCTCTACAACACTCTATAGTGGAACAGCCTACACAACGAAAATCGCCCTCGGCCAGGAGAAACTTAATAATAATAGCCCACGGCCGTTCGGGTTCTTCAATCACCGGAGACATTTTTAATCACCACCCAGATGTGTTTTACATGTACGAACCGCTGCAAACTGTGGAAAGAACCCAGAGAAAATTTCACTTAAATTATGACAGCCTTGTGCAGAAATTCTTAACTGGTGTATTACAATGTAAATTCACAGATCAAGTCTTCTTGAAGGACATTGAAACGTACTACCGCAAACCTCTTCATCCTCGAATTAGTCACGCTATTGCCTCGCCACCTCTTTGTCCTTACAACATATCCGACCCGAGATGGGACCCACGACTTTGTGCCAAAATGACAAGCGAAGCACTTGAAAATGCATGCAAAAATAGCTATACGCTCACTGTGATTAAGGTTCTTTTAAGCCGCATGCCGCGCAAAGGCGGAATAAGAAAGGCTCTTGCTGTTTGCGATTCACCAGACATTTACTGTAAAACAGTGCTGTTAGTAAGAGACCCTCGTGCCGTGATACCTTCTTCACTGAGTGTTAACTTTTACAGAGAGGTACATGGAGTTGCTAAGCACGGAACAAGAATGTTTAGCTACAAAATATGTAAAGAGACAGAGGAAAGTCTTAATTTTGTCAAGAATCTTCCCCCTTGGCAACGAAGCAAAATCAAAGTGCTGAGGTATGAAGACTTTGCAAAAAATCCTTTGGACGAAATGAAGCGACTGTTCGACTTTGCCGGGCTATCGGTGTTAGACAGTGTTACAACATGGTTAAATGAAAGTACACATCCGGATAAACGAAGATCTGAGATGGAAATACGAGGTAGCCTGGTTGCTTTCACTGTGGATGATGCAAAAATTGCCATGAATCGCTGGCGATGGAAAGTCCACCCATACGAAATAAATATCATTGAATATTATTGCAGACATGTGATGCAGTTGATGGGATACAGACCTGTGGAAGGATCACACGAGCAACAAGCAAACATTTCGATCCCTCTAGTAAGTGATGATTACGAAGTGAAGGACTGGTAACGAGACATGAATCAGGTCAAGTCTGAATAGCAGTGACCTTATCGCGCAAAGGGAAAGCGAGTATTTGCTTCGTCAGTCTTGTCCGTCTCGTCTCGTATAAGGATACTTATACTGTAGATCTTGGGATCGAGTGAAAAGGTTCATAACAATCCAATATGAGACGTAAGAAGGCCATGATGATAACCAGCTTTTCGCCGCTCAAATTCAAATGCGACCTGGAAAAAGGCGGTAAAACTTCCGCGCTCAAGGGAATCGGGAACCAAAACTCAAATTTAAACAGACTCAACGTTGACAGAGAACTGAAGCAATAAGAAAACCAACAGTCAGTTTATCTTAGATAGTAAATAAGATTCGTATTTAATAATTAGTCATAGCATTTCTTTTACATCCACGCAGTTTTGAGTGCAAGTAATACCCAATTGTTCCCATTTGAGAATTGAGCGTCAGATAGAACTATAGAAAAATAACTTGTTATTAAAACAAAGTACACTCGAAAGATGTTAGTTTTCCTTTGGATTCAGGTATGCTTCGCCCACTGACAAGTTCGTAAACATAATTCTTCGCAAGACTTCGATGATTCCTTGGGTGAAGTATGTTAGGGGCGCATTAATTAAGTAAGTCCCTTTTCCCGTGTTTAATATTGCGGTGTTGCGACGTGACGAAAAGAGTTACTTTTGAATTTCTCCATAGCAAGACGAGGAAGCTCGGTTTTCCAGGATGGAGCGAAGATAGTCTTCTATGACACGCTGGACTGAAAAGGAAACATTTTGTTTTCATGCCATGCATAAAAACGACAAGAAAACAATTATAGTTCCGATCCATCATGGAAATCATTGTCAGCAGATACCTCGTACAATGCCTTAAATAATTTCGTGACTTGTCTTAATCGAGTTCTTAATCCTTTCACCCCTAACAGTGATAAGCATCTAAGGTCTCCTAACAGTATCACCCCTGAATCAAACATTACTGGTCACGAAAAAAAAGGAAATGATTGCGAACTCAACAAGCTCTTGACTGTTAGACACATTCTCCTTGTAATTTCCATAGGAAATGTCTAGAGAAACTTCTTTTTATCTTTTGTTTTGAATTTTATTTTTTTCTGTTTTTCTTTTGTTTACGAATCGATATTTACTCTCATCCTATGAGACTCCATGTCAATTTTCTCCATCCCTAACCATTGTTGATGTGTAGTTATCTGTTAATACCTCCTCAGTATGATCCTCTCTTCCCATGTCTAGATTTGGCGTTTTTCATTCTCCAATTTGACAATGGATTTGTATCTGGCTCTAGGTACAGCACTTCCGTTAGTGAAGCCTTATATTTGGCAAAGATGGACAAATAAAAAAAAAAAATACTACTTTGACGAAGAGCTCTGTTCTCATCACTAACTTACCATTTTTGTTTCCCACTCCTAGAGCTAGGCTCAAAGCGGTGTGACCTTCGTTGTTTGTAGCTGTTAAGTCTGCTCCATGTTCTAAACAGATTTATATGATAGAGTGAATTATATATGAATTTTGATTGGGTTTTACTTATGATCTATTGGAGGAAAGTCCAATAGTTGATGTCACCATAAACATAAAATTTTTCTTTTTTCCCATACAAAATAAATAGATTGTAGGTTGCCGTGGGTCTCTACAGTAACAGATCAGAACACAACAAAACTTGGTAAGAACATGGATGACACATTCGGCTGCGCCTCGTGGGCCACTTTCTCTTTCTTACGGTATTTTGTTTTCATTGGTGATCTATTACTGAACAGACCCAACGCAACAGGGAACCTATTTGTTAATTAGTTCACACAAGTTCATCAAACGTTAACACTTATTTATGTTTTGTGATTGGTCCATCTAGACACAAGAAACATTCCATCGGTGAATCAGATACAGAATTAATCCAAATCCCAACTTAAATATCCTGATTTTCCAACATCAGGGGCTGTTTGAGTTCTGATGGGTTCCTGATAAATTTAAACTTGGTTCTGATTTTGCAATACTCAACCGAGGAGCAGAGTAGAAAAAGTTTTCTTACCAAGTAGAAGTTTAACCACCTGGGGGTATCCATTATAAGCTGCATACATGAGAGGTGTGCCTCCTTCCTGCAGTCAAAATTTAGTCACATTGTGATTACACCAAACATTACACAACATAAGCAATTTTCATATCTGTGTGTCTATCTCATATCAATGCAGTCAGAAATTTTTTCTTTGAAGCCCATTTAGGGATTATTCAACAGTACTTAATAAATTTATGCTGCTTACTCACCCTTGACACCCTAACATCAGTATGCATATTCTCCATACTGTTCTCTATACATTTCCTGAGGTGCTTACAAGGAGATTTTGTGTAATAATCACAAGTGTGTTTGGTTGGTGATCATTTCTTTGATTCATGTGACCTTAATGTGTGATGCAAGGGTTTAGCTTGTGAAATAACCTTTTGAACAGGCATTTATCAAATACAACATGTATCACATGCAGTTTGAAACTTAATACAAACCACATTTGCAATATCTGGATCAGCTCCATATTCCAAAAGCTGCTCAACAACATCCAGTTGGCCCTGACAGGCAGCAAATGAGAGTGCCGTCTCTCCAGTTGGACTGCATGATGTGGCATCTGCACCACTCTTGAGCAGCACAGATATGGTTGCTTTCTAAAACAGTAACATTATATAACTGAGCAACTCTGAACCACAGTTTGATTGAGTGTTTTATCTCTCATGATATTACCTGCCTATGAGCTGCTGCCCAAGCTAGAGGTGTCAAGCCTGTTTTATCCACAGCATTTACATCTGTTCCTGCAGAGTACAAACCAGTGGGAAACATAATAATGGTGGGCATCCAACAGGTCATAGAGGAAAGACCTTTCAGAAAGCTCCTCCTATTAATGGTAATCTGAGTTTTACAATCTATTCTGCACTCTCACCTGACCCTCTCTAATTCCTGCTTGAAACTTACAGCTATATTCCACTCAGAATGTAACCAGTGTAAAGTAATATACATTTGAAACTGAATGCAATATGCTGAGACTTGATCTGAATGGCAAGTCTAATGGACATGAGATGAGTAAGGTTTAGGTAGGGTACAAAATAACAGAATCTGCTAAATGGGAAAGCAGAAAGACACTCTGCTGCTTCATGCTAAAGAAACCAGATTCAAATGTTTCTATCAGATAATAAATTGACTTCAAATCTTATGCAAACCTTTGTCAATCTCCTCTTTTATTTTTGCAATTTCACCCTGAGCTGCCAAGAAATGTAGAGAGGGGTCTAAAAACAGCAAAACAATACACAGTCAAACTGGTGTAACAAGCACAGCTACAGTACCCTTGCTAGTATTCCTTTGATACCAGCTGTAGAATAGGTAGCCATTCTGGTACATTGTGCAATGATAACATGTTTAATTTTTCTGTCTGGTACAGCTTTAACAATAAACATTGTTGGCTATCAAATACATGTTTTTTTTTCTGAGCCTCATCCTTCTCATGTATATTGTGCCAGAGTAGATTGGAGAGAGATTTATGACTGTAAATATACTTGGAGTCTATTTCTACTTTATTAGGTCAGTATATAATGCTTATTAACCATGTCTGCCTCTCTTAGATTGTTTAACTTTAGTGAACTTGAACTAAGATAAGAAATTTCAAGTAAAATCCCATAACTGAAGGTGTCTACTTAAAACAAAGGTTTAGCCAGAAAAAGAAAACTTCAAATGTAGGATCTGCTTTGGCTTATTAGAGGAGTCTCATAAATATAGCATGATGTAGCTAGAGGGGAAGACTTGGGGTAGTCCTCTACAAAATGATTTTTTTCTAAAAAACAAAAAAACAAAACACCAAAGAATCTACAAGGCATGAATCACTTACTGATCGCCCCACAAAAATTCAGTTTTAGTAAAACACAGTGTGGATGTCAATGTGATGGTACATTGGGTACTCTCAGTCTGATGCCATTTCCACTCCCCTTTTAAAAATCCCAGCTATCCCCCAGTACCAGATTGATTGTTTTACAGTAGATAAGGGGTGACAAAAGTGGACTTCTTATGTGTTCGCTCTATACAGGGTATGCAATAAACATGGGGTATATCCAATTAAGACTAGTTTTCTTGTAGTTTGAGGTGCAATTCCTGTCTGTAGTAGCTTTTCAGTAAAGCCTGTGGGAGTTTGGATAGTGATGCAGAACATTATGATATGGCAAATTTGAAACATATATCTGCAATACAATATCATACATTCTTGGATTCTGCAAACATTTTTAAACTGAGGAAATATTACTGATCTGGACAAATTTAGCTTACACTGTGCTGCCGCATCACCAGTGCCTAGAGATTCTTGAATGTCATGCTCCAACATCTGCAAAACAGATGCATTTTGATAAACTTTAGGCAAGAAACAAATAAAATCCCCAGAGCGGCTCTTAATGTAAAGTTATATAGCCAAATGCTAAATGGCATCTAATCTTTATATCCTTAACAAAAAAATCCTCTTGGTAGACTCCACTTATAAATGACTCAGGAACAAACCCAGAAGTGGAGAGGCTGTAGATCTAATCTAATCTAATATGGAGGCTGTAGATCTTATCTAATCTAATATGGTTTAGCCAGAGATGCTGGAGAAAATTACAACGAAATTGTTGGACTTTGTAATGCTATGTGAATAATCAATCCAAGACTCACGTGGTAAAGGTCTTAATAAATTTTCTCTGACACAACTGTTACAATCTTGACAAAACAAATGAATATGCCAACTGCCCCTAACTCTCCCATTTGTTTGCTAAGAAAAAAGGCACGTTTGAAGCCTTGATACAGTTCCATCACTGATCATGAGAGAGGAGGGAGGGGTGAGTGGCAAAATTGAGTGACTCACCTTTATCCCAGTTGTTAACTCCTTTGTTGAGGAAGACCTTGACCCTCGCCTGGCTGAGCTGGTTGCGCCTGATTGGGAAACATTAGGGTCTATAAAAGAATAGTTAAGTATATTTTCCATAGTATATTATAAGCAAAGGTAAGGCCAAAAAAAATATCCTCAAGTGGTCCGAAACAAGACTTGTTTCAGATCTCAGACTAGTTTGTTAGGTGTTATTCAAACTCCCTATAAGATTGTTTTCATCGTGATGGCAATCACAGTCGCGCACGATCAGAGTTTAGCAAGAAAATATTAAATTTGAAAGCCAAAAAGTCAAATAATCAAGAAAGCGTGTTGTGATCTTTTGTGGTGGCAAACGTAACATTTGTCGATCGATCGCCACGTGGTTTAAATTTCCCACTCCCGATCACCCACCTGTTCCTAACACGGCTGCCACCTCTTGATCAGGTTCAAGGTGACAACTCACTTTATCTTGCATGTCTCCCTGTACCTCATGGTTCCCTAGCATAATTTTACGACTTTCTGAAATACAACACAATAACATTAAAAGTCTCACTAGGCACAAAAGGAATTATCAAAACAAACTAAATCGAGTGCCCTCGTTCCAGTGCTAAGTTCTGCCCTTGGGTTTGACGGAGGAGAGACTGGGAGTACCTCTTCAAGTTGTTTTTGTTTGCATAACATCGCAAAATACGTGAAATGATCGGTTTAATAATGTTACTTCGTTCAAGCGTTGTGTGGTAATGACAACATTTTGCTATTAAAAGTACGAGACCAAGAGATTATAGATTGAGAAGTGAAGAGAAACAGTCGAATACGTCTCGTGTTTCTCCCTTTACTTCTTTCGTGTTCTAGCCGCTTCTTGCATGCGTTACAACGGACAGAGCAAAGTCAAAGCTTTTCTGTTTGTTTTATAACAAAAAATTCGTTAAATTACGAACGCATTGCTTTCAATTTTCAAAACAAGCTTTCTTTTCAAAGCGAACAACAGTCTATACTCTCATAAAACGTAAATTGGCGACAGCAAAAAGTAAAATTTGGTTAATTTTCGTTTTCAACTCAGTTGTTAGCATTAAGGGTTTGATTACATGAAGGTGGGGGACCCCAGGTAGGTGAGGTAACCGGCCTAACTGGGGTAACCCGCCAGTCCATATAATTTCTTATTTTATTTTGGTCACGTTTACATGATAGGAGCACCACAAGTTTCTTTAGAAACTTACCCCCTATATATTCTCATAAAGCACGCTTCAATAAGCCAATCAGAAACCCACTTGGAATGGTACAAATAATCTGTTTGGCTGAACAAGACTAAGGCTGTCAAAAATGTCAAACCATCAAAGTTCACATTCTGCGATAGTTACAAACTTTAAGAGATCGGTAGGTCGAAGTCAACACTTTTGCCGGAAGATTTTTTAGTCTCCAATACAGAATCTGAAAGTGAAATGTTCAATGAGATGCGGCCGAATTGTGGCTCATAAAAACACGCAAGTTTTTTCACATAAAGTAGAAAACAAACTCTTCAATGCGAGTGTTTTATGAATGAACGATGTAATTTTTGAGGCTTGCTTCACACTGAGCTAGCAGCGATGGACCTCAGCATGATTGCAGTCGCACTGATACCGTCATAATTAGTAGGAATTTTTAACAGTTATGCCAGTTTGGCGATATTTTTCATAATTCCTGTCTTGTTCTGTTTTATTTTTAACACGAAACTTTATATGCTATGCGAGTGTTAGCTGTGTTTGCTTCTTATTACCGTAGGTAAGCTTGCAATCTAAATACGCGTGAAAACCTTCGAAACTCGGACTGTGCATTTCGTTTTCTCTTTGAAAACTTTCGTCTCTGCTCACATCAAAATAATGTAGATTACGGCGCCTGAAATGTTTACAAAGCTTATTATAATCTGTGTTAGAACCCGTATGTGCCAAAGCCTTTCAGAAAATTTTCATCTAATAATGAAAGCTTTAAATCTTCTAGTTGGCTAGTTTAGTTTTCTCGCTGGGGACGGGGAAACGGGACAATTTCAAGTGAGAGGTGTAGGATGTATTCTAAGTGAGCAACCCTTTGGGTACTTTCATTTTGCCATTATCCTCCAGGATAATCCCCTTCCTCCCATTCCCCCCCTTATTAGTATATAAAGCTTCTAAAGACAGCATGTAAAACTTCTATCGTTTGAGAGCATATGTCAGCTATGCCGTACGTTCTGTTATAAAAACGCTTGTATTACAGACATCAGTGATCTTTATTAGACATGCCCGGCGGTCTATAAATTGGACCCTGGATGTGAAGTGCGGAAGTTGGGCATAGGTCATTAGACTCGTCATAGGCCCCGCGTCTACTTTTAAAAAGACCTCTTATGGCGCAAGTAACCTGATTGTCTACGGAAAGTATGAGGTGGTTACTGGGAATTAAATTAGACAATGGAAATCGCTAGATATAAAGTGATCAGGTGATAGAGTTAGTAGAATGAACTTTTTGGAAAGCGCTAGCATCACTGTGTGTTCACGCTGTTTTATTGTGCGCTTTGATCATGAGTTTGGTATTCAAAAGGCTGACTTCAAGGTAATAAAAAACGAAATGAAAGTTATTTATTTTCCAACCGCACTAGGTAGAGTACAAATAGCGCGCGAATCGATTTAAAACATCTTGCGATATTGGACAGTTGATTATCAAATTTTGTATTGTAAAAAAATACCTGTTAAACTGGTCGACTGCGCGTCCTTCGCTTCTCTATCTGCTTTGCTTTTCCACCTTATACGAAATGTATATAAAATAAAGCAGTTTGATGACAAATAAGTTATCAGTCGTTTTGGTATGTACTATTGCTGAGTATTCTTATTTCTTGTACCTATTTTGACTCGCCTTACGGGCTCGTCAAAATATGGCACAATTCGTAAAAATACTATACACCAAAACGTTAAATAAGAAATATTTGTCATAATAACCATACTAGTATGCTAGTGTACAATCCTCAGATGAAAACGTCCGGCTCACGTCTCTGACACCAAACCTCGACTGCATCAGCGAGTCGGTCGATTTATTTTGTTATTATGGAGCCTGGTGACCTCGGATTTCCTCAAACCAATATCTGAAAAGCCATTTTCTAACTCGGTAGCAATGTGAACTGTTTTGTCTGCCGACTCTTCGGTAAACTTCTGAGGCCGGTTAACATCCAATGTGCGTTGGTCAGAAGCCTTGGAAGATTTAGAGGATGACGCTGATTGTTTGTTCAGTGATATATCAACTCCCCCTGACTCGCTGCTTAGAGTAGTTTCGTCCTTTGTTACGTGCATTTTCAGTTTTCCCGCGTTCCCGAGGACTTGAAATCCTCCGTATTTCACATCTGACTTTTTACTTCCTGAAACGCTTTGTAAAGAATTACTTTCATGTTTCCGTTTGGTACTCAAAAAGGATAGACCTTTTTTTGGTGTTACCCTTCCTTGTCTTGTAGCTACGGAGTTTAAGTGGACTCTTCGTTTCTTCGTATTATTTACATGGTATTTCTTCTTTTCTCGCGAATTTACCGGGGTCTTCCTTTTGGAAATCTCAGATTTACGAAAGCTGATTGAGTTCCAACCAGCCTGAGTTACATGCACTACCGGTTTGTCCGATTTAAGGACAGGATATTCGGCCGTGCCAGGCTTGACTACAACTTGAACTGAGTCCGCTTGTGCTGTCACCTTCGCTTGGTCTTTGGTTGCCAGGATTTTCAAATCCCCTGATTTGTCCTCTACTTGAAAATGTGCCTTCTGTCCTTCGCTTCCCTGAGCCCGCGCATCGGACAACCAAAGAAACAAGAATAAAACTCTTATCATCATGATAAAATAACGGCGATTTACTGATGAAAATTACATATATGGTACAAAAACACTGCCATATCCTCAGACTCAACTGAATCAAAAAATGCCTCTAACCGGTCGCTATCGACTGATTTAAACTGTCGTGATTGTCACTTTAAATAATTAATCAGAGTGAGCACCTTTTACTCCCTTTTCGCCAAAATTCTTTGGAAAATTGAAATAAATGCTGTTTGAATTTGAATTCCTATTTGTTGTTAGTGCCTTTTTATTGAAACAAGCCCTTTGCGGCGTCAATTCTCGGCTGCAAATTAAAAGTGCGATGGCTTAATTTCAAACCTCACTAACTGCCACCAGGCATATATATCGGGTGGTCTGATTTAGTCGCACGCGCCAAGAGTTACTTTAAAACGCACAGATCTTGTGTTACTGACCGGACCTAAATAAAACCTTTGAGTTTTTGCTGATATTGTTTATCTTTATGATTTTCTTTCTCGGCGCTAATTAATGTTTTCGTAAACTTCAGGTCATCTCAAGTATTTATTTATTCAAAAAAAGCTACAACACCATAAAACATACAACAGTGCCCGGCGTATAAAACCACGTAATTCATTTAGTTAATTTGTTCCAGGCCATATGAAGGAATTCTGTATTGAGCGCGTAAAAAGAAAAAAGAGTTACATATTCCGAGATTTCATTTCTCGTCTCATTTCCTCTCAGCTCACTCTCTTTCAATATTTATTCAACAGGTTGTTTCGTCGATTCTATTTGCTAATCTGCGTCTTTTGTTTGTCTTCTTCACCTGTTTACGTGCGTTATAGTAAATCGTAACAACAAATATTCATCATGGCCGCAGTTTCTGGATCAACAAACTCTCTTAAAATCTATTTGCTCTCTTTTGTTATTTTCATCTTCCTATTGATATCACAAACCAAGTCTTCACCAGTTCCGCAGGAGTTTCAGAAGCCCCACTTCCAGGTATATACTCTTTAATGATTGAGAAATTTGGGTGAGAGCAATAGCGATCGATTTTGCATTTGTACGCTTAACAAATTTCCTTAAGTTTAAATTTATTTGTTTATCAGTAGTCTGACGTAGTTATACTTGCATCAGGCAATTGCAGATTTGCTATCTTTGGCGTATTTCATATTCTATCGAGTCCTTTGAAGATATCAAATCACGTTACTACATTCATGTAAGACTCACCAACTCTGATCTTAAGTCTGCTGTCGTTGTCAGGTGTAACAGTTTTCTGTCTTTTTATGAAAAAAGCTAGAAAACTGTGAAATGATTTCCCCTGAGTGAAAGAGACTTGCCGCTTGTCAGTAAATACCTCTTAAAGAAGGATCACGGTTAAATACATCGGGCGAGCGTGGGAAACTGACGGAAATTTGCATCAGTTTCCGTGATGATTCGAACTCTAACTAGCTCGGATATTTGCAATTTTTCGGTCAGATTCTCTCAAAGAACTCTATCTCGAGCTGAAGGCTCCATAGCCAGTCGCCGTTCGGGAAATCTGCCTACATACCTCCTTGCACGGGAAGGAACGGAGGCCAAATTCACTAAGAAAGTATCTGGAAATGAAATCAGATGAAATCACTTTATGTGATCAAGGTTATCGCTGAGGCCTATGCATTCTACTCTTGACAGGTGGAACATAAAGCCGGTGTTTTATCAATTACGGCGACAAAGGATAAAGCAGACGTAGATGTAAAATCTGACACCATACGTTTGCTAGTCAAACCTGGAGATAGACAATATCCGGTTGGTGATGCACCGGAAGTCAAGACAGTCCACATAGAAGGGAATTACCCACAGATTTACCCTGTGTAGTAGTGAAAGGAAATCCAGTGATACATTGAACTAATCTCGCACCCAGATCCTACCGTGTAACTGTAACCGAAATGACCGCTTGACCATGGAGGGTCTGGATACCAGACTAACATTGAACCACTTTATCAACGTGATCTCAGACAACTTTATACTTGAAAATAAATACCCAAAATTAAAAAAAAAGATTCAACTGCCACCAGAAGCTAAGCGAAATGCTTTACTGGGAAAGGATACGCATGAAAAACAGAGATCAAGCTTATGAGGTTGTGTTTTAATTACAAGCTTACAGGAATGACATCTACACGCGGATTTAATTTGTTGTGCACTTCCCAGGTCAGTGTCAGGTGTGTCCGAACAGAAATAAATGGTTCTTACCAGTGTAAATTTATGGCTAAATTAAAGCCACGCCCTATGAATACGGGCATGCCAACACGAGTCTCTCTCTAAGGTTTTCAATGCCCAAAAAGATGGAATTTTTTTTGCTTTGCCGTCGCCATCGTCAGCGCAGAAATCTGCCCGAACATCACTTTACTTGAAGTCAGCACAGGAGTGTGAAGACTGTGTGGCCTTATCCTTATTTAGACGACAGGACCAATAGGACCAGAAACAGATCTGTGCGGTTTTAGGATAGATATCCTGTCCATGTGCAGACAGGACTCTCTATCCCGCTTGGTCTGACATGTGCAAAGCGGCAAGAGTTGCAGTCTTAAGACTAAAGATTGAACAGCGTCTAAACGAAGGTAAAGGCGACTGTCATTCAGCTCGGTGCATGTTTATGGCACCGGCTCAGAGCCGTGACTCATAGAACCTCGTGCACCACGAATTAATCTATGCATTACTTCATTCATCGATTGATCCGAAAATAAGAGGAACGACATCGAGGATAGAAATTAATAAAAGCTTTTTATTGCATCATTTTTATTTAAGACTTTCGTCAATTCTTTTCATTGAAAAGCATTTTTTTAATAAAACACGCTTTCAAAAAACTCTTTACGGATTTGCTGCATGGAAACACTGTTGACAAGACCAGGATCCATGAGTCTCGCATCTCCACATGGTAATGTCGCACTGAAATAAAGTTAAATAGTACGGATTTGTTTATTTCATCTCTAATATGTATTTCCTGGCTAAGTGTGGTAAAACGCCCAAAAAATATTGGAAAAAACGGAAAACGAAACAATTTTTCGGTGTTCGATTTTAAGTTTCGGACACAGCACACAGCCATACTTGACCAACTAGTCACAGCAAGGTGATCAAACGAGATGTTCAGTCTCTCAAAAACATTGGATTGCGTTTACTTCCCAAAAGTTTCACAACAGAAGTTAGCAAGTTTGTTACATTTCTGAAATAAATGGCCCTTGTTCATGGATTGATCAATGAAATTTTCAATAAAATAGAATCATGAACTCACTGGCTGAGAAACGTAGTGACTGTAAACGTAATGTCCTTCTCTAACTGGTAGAGTCGTGGCAACAAATGAGTTCAGTTTAGTTAAAGGTGATACTTGACTATCCATGCTGTGTTGGACACTCTTTAGGTGATGTTCTATAGACGTGTTTTGTGGAGCCATAGGAGGTTCATCCATTGTGACATAAAGTTCCGCTTCAAGCTTTGGACGCGCAGCTCTGTTACCTGCTGATGGGTCTGGGGCTGAGTTGCTCAATGCAAGAAGAGCGTAGGCTGCATCAATTTCCTCTTGAGTATATTTCTTTTCGAGGAAAATGGTTAATCATATTATCATGAATAGAAAAAAGGAAGGTCTAATGCAAGAGCGTTGCTAAGGGAGGAGGTCTTTGGACGTCCTACATCAAGAAAACTACAGCTTCTCAAAATAAATCAAGTAGATAATTTGCACAAGAATTAATTGATGTGCTTCAGTAGATATCATGGGAAACGCATCATAATAGAAAAAATACGATCGTTGCATTAAAATTAAGAGATAAGATTCCTCCACATTGAACAGCGCATATTATACTATAACGCAGTGATAAAACAATTAATGATATATGGATCAACTGTTTGGTCGAACTGCTCAAGTGATAACGTAATGAGAGTCTTCAAGCTTCAAAACGCGCTACCCGAGTTATCTTGGAAGCTGACACAAGGTCGAACAATGTAAAACTCTTCAAGAAATAAGCGTGGGTCCCTTTCTAGGACGAAGTTGAGTTCAATAAGAGTACTTTAGTCTTAAAGCGTTTACAAGGAAGCTGTCCTGTTTATAAGTATGATTACTCAAATTAATGCAGACCTTCCTTAAATAAAGTTGTTTATTTTTTTTTTTTTTTTATATAAGCACGAGTTTGCAGCCGTTCAACGGTTCACATCGCGGTTTTTGTCATAATAGCCCAAACTCTTTTCAACCTGGACGCGCTTCTTATGGTGGGCCAAGAAATAAAATTTTAGGCATTAAACTACAAGGATAAAGCTTTAAGATTTACCAGACCTTTTAATAAGCTTATAAAGAAGACCTTTATTTTACCTCTACGAAAAAGACACAAAGTACATCATTTCAACGGGTCGACTAAGAAGAATAAAACTAATTCCGAAATTTTGCAATTGTCGGCGGATTCTTGATACATATTGTCAGTGGTACTTAATAAATTGAGATAGATAAAGAAAATATTAGTAAAGTGTTTTGATTAATTGTAAAATACCTACATTCTGATTGTTTTGCTGCGATCGATTGCTTGAGGTTGAGGCCTTGTCCGTGACAGACTCCATTATTACACTTAAAATCGACTAAGGAGGTGATATCTGACAAGAGGAAATAAAGTAGAACCATGAACTCACTGGCCGAGAAACGTGGTAGAGTTGTGGCAAAAAATGAATTCAGTTTCGTTAAAGGTGATCCTTGACTATGGCTTTGTTTTGTGGAGCCATGGGGGCGGGGGTTGTTCCGTGGCACATAAATTTCCGCTTCAATAAATAGAAAACATTTGTCTTTGCTTTGGTCATGATATTTTTCGCACCGAGATAACGGTATATTTTACAACTTTCCGTGACGTTCAAATAAGGTTTAACTAACAACCACATCGTGATTCTGTGAATGTTGAAAAACAGTGGATCAAATGCTCTTTAGAAATTACCTTAAGAAGTTTCCTCTTGGAAAAATGCCCTATCTACAAACTGAAACTTGACAGAGTGCAAACTCGAGTCCATGGAAATAGATGACGTCATAATGGAGTCACTTTACACGGCGCGCGCTCATCATGAAATAAGTGAAGTTCCATTCTATATCATTTTATGCTGTTGAAAAATTGGTGCGAAAAAATTGACCATTTTTTTTTTTTATAGGCGTTAAAAACAAAACAACCAATCAGACTTCAAGGCTTGTTTAAAGTAACCGATCAAATTGAGGATATAATTTTGTTTCAAAACTCTTATTTTTTCTCCCAAAAATGGAAAAAATTTGAAACTGGCTCAGTATTGTAGTAACAAAATATTTGAAGCCTGTATTTAGGCGATTTCAAAATGGATGTAATAAAGTGGTAATTGAACTTTGTGTTGTGCAATTTTGGTCTGAAATCATACTTGTGAGAATACCATTATTCCATGTAATCGGAATTTTTTTTTTTCGTTTTTTTTTTTTTGTTTGTTATACTCTAACCAGGGGCAGGTTCGATCGTGTCCTGTCCACAATAAATGTTTTCAAGATGGACGGCGTCCGCCAGAAAAATATTACATTCTCGACCCAGAGCCTGTGAAGTTGTCTCCATGTAATCGGAATCGTAGTATACTTACAATAAATGTTTTCAAGATGGCGGCGTCCGCCAGGGGAATATTAATTCTCGACCCAGAGCTGTGAAGTTGTCTCCGTAGCAGTCAAAAGGATGACTAAACTATGGTTTTTGTTAACGTTTGCATTTTTTTCGAAATACTTTCTGCAATCGGCGTCTGGAGGTAAGCCATGACACCTGAGTTTGTATTCTAGACTTTGTTTTATTTTTAAACTTTCTTAAGCTGTGTCTATGTCTTGCTGCTGGAAAGGGTTTTAAAAAGCATTGTGTCTCTGGCTGTCAGGAATTTTTACAGAGTTCCTCCTCAGAGGTTTTTCTAGTTTATTAAGAGCATCAGATGTCTGTGTAGAAATGTCAAGCGATTTCAAAACTCACTTTGGGTTTTAGTGAACGAATTTTTTGAACATGTACGTGTGCACACTGTAAGGCTTTCTTACTGTATGACACAGAGTATTTTTGATAACTATTATGAAAGATGTATGCCAAACACATACTACGTTAATTCTGCTGCTCTTACATTAAGATACATGATAAATTGTTGTATCATGTGTGCAGGAAGTGTTGTACTTAATATGGCTGTTGTTAATGATAAACTAAGTAACATTTGTCTTTTCACTCCTGCCAGATTGGTATAACTTTTTTTATGCGAATACCATAGTTTTCCTTGGAATCCTTCACACTTTACCTAATTTTTTATTCTATTGTTGTTGTACACTTACTGTCTTTTGTTGCTAGAAATGTTGCTCATCAGGGCCTGGTTAATCAAAAGGGGGTCAGCACCAATCTAGGATTAATCTTGGCTTTAATCTCACGTGTAGAAGAGTGTGTATAGGAGCTTAGGTTTTGTTGGTGTTTATCTCATTATGATTCAAAACTAACAAGTAAAGAATGCAAAAGAAAAATCCCTTTGCAGAGTTATTAAACTGAATTAAAAGAATTACACTAACCCCAGTTAGGTTAATCATATTTTGAACAACATGGCCCAGGAAATTCCTGGACCACTTATAACCAATTGAACTTTAAATATTTTTTATTTGGCTTCCAACTGTAGCGGAAGTAAATATCAACTTGACAGACTTCCAAGGAGGTGTAGTTGTTATACCTGAGAATGATCAACAAGGAACATTAAGAGTACAGTTGCAAGAAGCAAATATTTCTACACCTGTAAGTTTGCTACCAACAACATTTTGCATTTCATGGAGGAGTGTGAGCAAAATTTCATGATAAGTGTATTTCTAACTTTCATCCGTTTAGAAACTGGGTAGAAGATGCAAACTTTGTGTTGTTCTTTTTAACATATTTATTACTTGATAATAAGTAAGGCAGGTACAAGTCAAGTATTAATCCCAGAGGTACTGGTAAGTGTACTCCCCCATTCCTCTTCTCTCTCCTCTCTCCTCCCCCCTCTCTATCCTCTCCCCATCTCTTCTCTCTCTACCCTCTCTACCCTTTCTAACCTCTCCCCCCCTATCTTTTCCTCCTCTTTCCCCTCTCCCCGTCTCAACCCTTTCTATCCTCTCTCCTCTTATTTATCTCTTCCCCTCTCTCCCCTCTCTCCCCTCTTTCCCCTTTTCCCCATTCCTCCCTCTCTCCCCTCTCTCCCCTCTTTCCCCTTTTCCCCATTCCCCCCTCTCTCCCCTCTCTCCCCTCTTTCCCTTTTTCCCATTCCCCTCTCTCCCCTCTCCCCCTGTCCCTCATCTCTCTTCTCTTTCCCCCCTCCCCCTTTCCCCCTCTTCCCCCTCTCCCTCTCTCCCTCTCTTCCCATCTCTACCCTTGAAGTTGATTACCACACCTGTGTCGTATGTGGGTGTAGTTTTTGGCCAATTTCTCTACTTGCTTTGAAGGAGTATCTGAATCCCCCAGTTAGTTTCAGTTGTTTTCTCCACAAAGACCAACTCACCTTATTCAAACATTGCATCAATAGTACTTGTCAAGGGGATAAAACACAATACAGTTCATTACTATTATTAAAGAGTTCATGCTCATATCAAAATCTGTTTTCAGGTCACAGTCATTTGCAGCACTTTGGACACTGGTCCTGGCTTGACAAGTGTAGAATTTACAAACTCCACAGTGCCTGTTGGTGAAACAGAAGTTAATGTTACATTCAGGTGTGAATATACATAACATCATGATACTGTGCAAGGGAAAGGCATCATTTATACATCAAATATATCATTTGCCAAAAAAGTAATACAGTGTACTTGATGTAGCCTTAATGAACGACAAGAAAGGCAGTTAAATAGGCATGGATTTACTGTATTTTTATGCTATGTACAACTATCTTCCAACTGCCTTTGCTCCATGGTACCATGTAAAGGTTTTAAAATGGTGAAGCCTGATTGTCTAACTTTGTAATTGAACATTAGCCCTTTATCAGAGCCATTTGCTCTTACAAAGAGCTAGTACTTGAAACATCAGCTTTAGAAACTCTTTAGCTTAGAGTTGATAAAACCAAATAATTTTCAGTTGACTTATTTTGTTTTTGTCAACACCAACTCATAGTTTTTCTAGAATGTCAAAGATGAATAAGTGATAAGATATGACCATCTTTACGGCATCAAACCCCTAGAAGTGATTAACATATAACTTCTCCTTATGATATCCATACACCATTCAGCAAACAGGTAATGAGAATACTCAAGCTTATCAGGTGCAAGTTGTCATCTTAATCTAACACAAAATTATTTAAACTACTTTACAAGGAAATGTGTAGAAACTAGAGAGGAGAATTAATGTAAAGATCCTGTGAATTTAAGGGTCAACTGTGTATAGATGACTCAGGTCGCTGGATATTTACAGTACTTTGTGTTTCTTTTGAAGGATAATATCACCTGGTCGACCTGTTACAATTCAGTGTTCAGGACAGAGTCAAGGAAACAACTCACAGTATACATTTTCTGAATCAAGGGGAAACAATGTGTAATTGTTTTTTGTTACCTTTTATTCCTCTGTTTTAATTTTTTGTAAAGAGAGAATTTGATGTCAGTAAGATACCCAAGACACTGGAGAGGAAGCCAACCTGCATTATGATGCATTTTTATGTGAAGGAAAAGGAATTGGATAATGTTCGTTCTCATGACCTAGATTACATTTTTATTTGTATTTTGATAAAAAAAAGTTTTTCAAATTAGCCAAATTACTTGTAAAAATTGCAACAACTACTGTGTTATTAATCAATGCTATAACAACAACATCATACTTATGACATGGTTTTTCTGGAAAGTCCACTGAATAATTGGTGAGAACAGTCAATTTTTTAATCTTTCAGAGTATTTTCCTGCTTGTAAAAAACACTTCTGCTGTTACTCACTCTTTACTTTTCTTTGGATGAATATTTCCCTGTGCATAAGTTGTAATCTATGATTATTTTTCTTAGGTCACTGCATGTTACTAAAGCACCGACTGTTCATGTATGCCCAGATGTTATATTGCTAAAAAGATATCTTCCAAAATCATCTTTCCAAGTGCAGTTCAGGTGAACGTATGGTTTACTTGCAGTGACATAACATTGATTTTAAAATTACAAAGAACAACATTGAAATGTGACTGATTATGGCTTAAATAATGTTCTTTAGACAACTTGTAAAGAAATGATGCAAGGTGCATGAAATACATGTACAGGTGTAAGGCTTTCAAATGTTGCTAATGAAGTGTTACCATAAGGCCCATTACTAACTGTCATTGTGAAATAACTATTGACTGAAGTAATGGTCCACAAGTTTTATTTCTTAGGCTTGTAAAAACAATCAGTTCAACATTTGATTTAAATATTGATGTGGGTTAACAAAAATTCCTGTCTCTGAATACCTGGGATAGAGAGTCTTATGATGGCATGAAGTGTAGACTGTTGACTATAGACAGGGTTCATATGGGTCCTGGAAAACCTGGAAAGTCCTGGAATTTTATTCTGAAATTTTCCAGGACTGGAAAGTCCTGGAAGAAGACTACAGGTGCTAGAAATTTGTTTCTGAAAAAGGGTATGAACCCTGTATAGACTGGGGACTTAAGTGATGGGATTTTTAAAGAATTCAAACTGCATTCTCTGGGTTGGGTTGAAAATATGGACCAAGGTGTAAAAAGCAAACTACAACATTTGCAGCATACAGAGTGTGTTAACAGAAACACAGGAAATGTGCCATGATTTAGTGAAGTTTTTTGCTGGAGTAAGACTATTTTCCAAGAGTTTGAGTAATATAATTCCACAAAAAATTATTTCACCCAACACTTCACTAAATTGCGGCTCAGATTCTTCTTTATCTACATATGAATGTAGTAGTCTGTAGTTTATAATTTAGAGATGGGCCAAAGGATGCAGTTCATGATTTACTCCTCAGTAAATATTCTTACATCCAGAACAGTGTGCAGTCATGGTCAGCAGTTCCTTGTGGTATACTGACCTCATCTCTTACATCCAGTTAAAGTGCTACCATTCAAAACATTTTGATATATAATGCTTTTTATATTTAAAGAAGAAATTATCAAATGTCCTTTGTTCTGCAGTGAGAAGATTAAAGATTTACCAGTTGTTGTCCAGTGTACTCCTGTTGAGGCAGATGGTAATTATGTTTGCTTCTAACAGAGTAAGAGAGACTGAGTCTATAAGTCTTCAAAGCTATTTGTTTTAGAGCTTTGAGCTGCTGTTTTTCTCCTACACAAAACTGATGTCTTCATATTTGTTACCAAGGGCCTGAAAAACCATTAGTCCTCCAGCTCCTTACAAAACAATTTAAAAGACATTTAACCAAGAGAAAAATCTGCCATGCTCCTTAAAAGTAATGTTATTGGACAGTGTAAAAGTATTTTTTTAATTGGTGATTTTGTTATAAAGAATCCAAAGGTCTGGGGCTCAATTTTTCATTAGAACTAAGAGTTTTTTCTTCATGACATGACAAAAAATATCTTTCTTTAAAATAATTATACTTGTTACTATTGCAGTAACCAAGGCCCAAACACACATTTTTTATTCTTAGTTTGGAAACACAAACCATTTTTATGGATTAGATATTAAGAGATTTTGTGGCCATTTCCAAAGGTTATTTCATCTAATTTGTGATCTATTTATCCTCACCCTTGCTAGGTGGCCCTTCACTGCTACAGATAAAGTTTACAGAGACAAGAGTTGATCCTGGTGCTGTCACAGCTCAGGTGTTAAATGAATTTTTAGAGTATAGCCAGTTTCTCTTTCCAATTGCTAGATGCTACAAGTTAAAATGTCTTATTTATGTGATATGGTGCTCGCTATGAACTAGCTGATCTTGCTTGAAAGAAAGCTTTCTGTAAGTTTCACCAGTTTATTCATAAAGTGACAAAAAGCAAAACCAAACCAACTATGCAACAGTGGATTACTTCCAATACCGACTCAACAACAGTCTGTTTTAGAGTTGCATGCTTGGTTACCAGGCCTTTGAACAGGGGTGAGGCTAAGGGTGACCTTGTCATGATACAAACGTTGCTTCTTTTCAAATGGAAATTACTTTGTTATCATGCTAACTAGATACTGGTCTCTATTGCAACAAGGTTACCTTTAACCTCACTCCAAATCAAAGGCTTGGCAACTAAGCACAACTGCAAAATGGCCCATTGCTCCTTCTGAAAAATTCCTTGGAAAGCAATCATCTCATTTCTCTCTAATCAAACTGTAAATTTTCCCTTATTGTTCTGTTTGCCTTAGAACCCCTTGACCCATAATTCTCTTTGGTTTGGTTATAAAGGTGTCTTACGAGCTTGTATCAGTTGGTAACCCTGTTCAAGTGATATGTAGAGCAGAGTCCTTTAACATGACAGTGTCACCAGTATCCTCAGCGATCAATGAGGCTACCAGCAGAGTAAGTGGGACTTCTGTGACTGCAGCTTCACTGACAAGTGTACCATTAGCAACAGCATCAGTGACTGCAGGTGGAACTAGAAAGAGAAGGAGTGTTGATGTTGTCTCTCCTGACAGAGTAGTGCGTCAGTACTTTTTCAACAATTCAGCAGGTAATGAAATGTTTAGCACTATACTTCATGTTGTCTATTGCACCCAGCTTTTCTTGATGAAAAGCTATGAGCTGGTGCCATCTGTCTCCCTCAACACTGGAAGCAAAAAAAATTTCAGACAGGGTGATTTTGAGAAAGCCAATAGCCAAAATAGACTCTTGAGTAGTTGAATAAAAGTGCACGTATTTAGTAAAAAGGTGTAAGTTTTGGTTATGTCTACGGGAATTCTAGGTAAAGTAGGTTTCATTATTTTGTTTGGTAACTTTAAAAAGGATTTCACCATTTTAATTGTTAGAATTTTTCTAACTTTTAAAGCATCTGTCACCATTTATTTGTGTTGGGGAAAGTGTTAAAAAACCCAATGCACGCTTCTTTTTTTTGCTTTATTTCCCCCCCCCCCCTCTCTTTGAACACTACTTTTGAATGGTTCCTGTGACGGTTGCTCGATTCTTTTTTCTTATATGTGATTTATGCACAGCTTTCGATTTATCATGTTGTCATTATTTACCTTCAGGACCAACTGTAACGTTTGCTGTTGATGTTTCCCCTTTGCGGATTCTCCCTTCAGTGGGCTTCATCCGGGCTCCTTGCGGTAGATTTAGCGCGGTCTTGGTACTGGACAAACCAGCTGAGGACCTCGTGGACGTCACGTGTTCAATAGACGTTTTACCACGTGGAACAGATTTACAGAATACATCAGGAGTGTGTTCCACTCCTAGTAAAGATGAAGTAACATTTGCTAACAGTACTGTGGAACTAAACAAGAAAGACATCCAATTCCAAGTAAGTTACACTTTCTTCAAATCATTTGAAAAGATCCCGTCTTCGTGGACGAACGTTGATATACATGTGTCGCATTTGTACTCATGGATTTTGGGGAGGTTTTAGATACAAGTTTTGGAAGACTTAGGATCCAACTTTCTGCTGTATTCTTTATTATCTCCCGTGTTCTTGCCATTTTTCTCGCCTGGCTTTACACAGGGGAGATCCTAATCCCAGTTCACGCACGTGAATTGGGTGTAGAAAAATTCTCGCGTCACATGTACTTTAAACAGTATTTTACGCGCTACGAATTTATAAAGGGAAACTTCAAACCTCACCTTACCTTACCTTTCTGTAAAATTCATATGTCACGTATTAGTTTAAGTCTTAATCATGCGATGCGTATTAACTCTTTGCAATTTTTTAATATTTTAATACTGGATTACGTTGTTTCTGCCTGTCAATTCGTGTACTGAAACGTCCACATCCTAAATTGTTTATATTCTTTAGAAAGGCGAGTTATTCCAGACTTTAGAATTAACTTTGAGTGAAAGTCCTGCGTGGCGCACGGAGGGCCTGGTGCGAATCACTTGTTGTGGTCAGGCCACAGGATTGAGCTTTCTATACGTCAACCGATCAGCGGAGGCCTTCATTTGGGTTGAACAGCGCAATATTCAACCCATAGACTGTAGCAGTATAACAAGTAAGTACAAGCCAATGCGTAGAGCGGGTGGGTGGTGACTCACTTGTAATTTCAAAAGAGTGTAAGATTAATAAGCAGGGTTCTTTTTCCCTTCGTACTCCTGCCTTTCTTTCAAGTTTGGTTCACGTAGTTGGTTTACATACCTCTTGGTTTAGAGTAGTTTTCATTCAAGTTTTGAAAGTTTTTCGGATTCTTCTTTGATTTCTCCGGAATTTTATTCCACTTTCTACACATATCACGCGCGTTTCTTTGCTGGAATAAAGGGGGTAAGTTTTTATAGAAACTGTGTGCTGCATCGGTGGTCGTCGTTGAAGGGGGGGTGGGGGGGGGGGTGGGGGTGGGGGACAGGGGGTATTGCAAGACCATTTGGTTTCATCGAGTGAGTTAATTATGTGAATTGACCACCATAGAGAGTTTCTAAAGCTGACATTTCGTCGGAGCGTTCCGATAGCCCTTCATTAGCCCTTTGCTCTCACGAAGGCCTAACGCTCCAAATGTCAGCTTTAGACCTCTCTACGGCGGTCAATTTACCTTATGAACCCAGTTGATAAAAACCAAATTCCTTGGCTCGAAGCAAGCTTTATTTCTTTGAATTGAATGTCCGACGCTTTTTTTTTTTTTTTTTTCCGTCGGTTGTATTTACTTTGGTTCTGTGTCCGCGATTCTAAGTCAGAGGGTTTTCGATGGAATATTACAAATAAATGCATATTTGTCCTTTATACTTACCTCGCGGAAACTGTATACTGTATACATGGTGTACTCGTGAGAAAACATTTAAAACTTGAGATTGCGTCTGGGAAAATCTCACAACCGTTGCAACCACATAATAAATAACTTCGTTTCAGTACTGATACAATGTGCAGAGTGATCGTCAAGATGTTTAGCAATAAAGAATGTTTACTTGTAGGTGGCGTGAGAAAGAGCACCTTGGTCTCTGATATAGATCTGACTTGTCCTTGTAATTTGAAGGAAGCGGCTTGTGACACGGGATGTTGTTGTGACCAGGTAATATTTTAACCCCTTCATTTCTTAGTTTTAACTGTTCATACTCGTCCTGGAAGTTTCTCTCCATTGCAAGTATGCCCTCTATAAGTTCGCCTCTTGCGAGTTAATTCCCTACGAGTTTGACCCTTACGGGTTTGACCCTACGAATTCACCCCCTACGAGTTCCCCTCCCCAACGAGTTCGCCCCCTCCTTACGAGTCTGCTTCTCGACGAGTTCCCTTCTCCCCTACGAGTCCGCTTCCCTAAGGGTTCGCCCCCCCACGAGTCCCCCCCCCTACGAGTTCTCCCTCTACGAGTTGGCCCTCACTACGAGTGGACCCTCATTACGAGTTCACCTTTCTACGAATTCGCCACTTACGAGTTCCCCCCCTACGAGGTCCCCCTCTTCAAGCCCGCACCCCTCGACGAGTTCACCCCCTACGAGTTTCCCATTTCTGATGACAGGCTACGTATAACAACTCATTCTTTTCAGGACTGCAGCGATGTCGAAAACGGAAGTTCAACTTGTATCCCAGGGTTCTTTGGAGGCGCCACAGCAGAGAAGCCATTTCAATTTAGCTGCCAGGCCTCCTGGCCCGACTCTACTGATTGGCAACCTTTCTTGTGCGTAACCATAAACAACAACCCTCTGATTGGTTACTTTTACAACCTGACCTCCCCGCCCTTAGCACAGGATTCCTCTGGGTTTAACACACTATCCGCAAAGAGAAAGAGAGAAGCATTTACGTTCTCAGAAAGCGAAGAACGGCAAACGAGTATTTCAAGTGGGTTTTACACTGCAGGAACAACAATTAAAACAGCTACAAACACTGAAGATAAAAATTACGCAAGAGCTACACTAGGTGTCCTTTCTTTGCCACAATCCGTCTTTAACGGTTTATGTGTCCAGAATGCAGCTGTAAGGTTTCTGAAAGACGTGTCGTCTGGATGTGTTTTTGAATCTGAGGAGTCTCTTTGTAATTCGCAGTCACCGTGGAGCGCGTTAAATTATTTAATGCCAAATAAACTTAGTCAACCAGCGTGTCCATTGCCCCCGGCAGTCCTAGCAGAGGGAAGCTTGGGCGACACTGTAGGGGAAATACCTGTGATAGCAAGTACGGAAGTACAGTATTTCTGTATTTCAGATGCCATTGACAGTGTTTCCACGACGGCTCAGAAATTGGGAGAAGCAAGGTGTGACTTTGATGACGGCGACTCTTTACCCCCTGCTCCATTTTTTAACAAAACAACGAGAACCTGCTCTAATGTAGTAACGAAAGTCGAATACGAGTTTACTTGGTATGGAAGGCGAATTGACGCAGTACAAGCGCAAATTACTCTTGGTAGCGTTGCGATTCCATTTGTTAGAGATATGGTTCAGCTAGTCACATCCGATACTTTCATCAACACTGTCGGCCAGAACTTTTCCGTCAGATTTCTTCACGCGTTGCGAAACTCTTCAAACTCCTCAAGCGTTCGTCAAACTCCAGTTCAGCGCTCAGGGAACCCAGGCTATGTACTTGGTCGTCCAGTGCTGGGCCGCCTACTGAACAGCACAGGACAGGTATGTTGTCAAATGCCTCTGTCTTGTCACTTTGATCGAGCATATAAGAAACAAAGATTGAGCGGTTTGTAATTGTACAAGATGAAACAAAAATTAGAACAAAACACGAAATGGATTCGAGTTATCTGGAGTCCAAAACAGTATTTGTGTGAATTCAATTCTTGGGGTAGAGTGCTGCTTCGGTGTAAGACGTCGTTATTCGCTAGCAGTTTACAGAGAAAGATAACGTTTGAAGCGTTAGCCCTTTCGCTCTGACGAAGGGCTAACGGTCGAAACGTCAGCTTTGAAACTCTTAACAGTGGCAAATCTACGTTATCAACTCAGTCGGTAATACCAAATTACCCTGGTATACTCTTCCAGGGACGCAGCTCTACAGTTTCTTAATAAAATTACCCCTTAAATACAAAAAAAGATACTTGCACGTCTTCCAAGTCTCTGTTTCTATTTAATCTCTCATGGACGCCATTTGCCGTAAAAAGAACCGAGTTTTTGATCCGCATGTAATTCAATAAGGCGGTTCGTTGTTGTATGACCTAGGTATCTCTTTACAAACGAGTACGTCGTTTTGGTGGTAGTGGAAGCTGGACCATGGTTCAAGAAGTATTGTTTCAAGCCTTGGCCCAGCGGACCATTGCTTTATGTTTTATGCCTGAGACAGTTTGCTTTTTTAGAGCCTGTCTCCACTTAGGGGTGTCGATGGGCATTGATTGACTGTCATGGAAACTTTATCAATTGTTTGTGATGGGGTTTCCGTTAAAAGACCTGTATCTCGTCCAGGCAGAGTAGCTTTACCTCTTTCTCATTATTGTATAGAAACGGGATAGGCCCTGCCTAAAGAGGCAACTGGACGCCTTACACTTTCAGTGTAATTTTACAACATTTTGTCATTTTAAAATTCCATCAGGTCACCGCTGGAAAAATCCAACTTTGGTCACCAAGCTCTGATGGTCTGTGCGCGGGTTCAACCTTCACCCCAGTCCTTTATGGAGAGGATGCCTTTTCGGGGTGTTTGGTAAGATTATCATTCGATGACATCAGCAACTGTTCTTTGTTACGCGAAACAATATTGACTCATCAGGCTCGTCTGATTCAAGCCACCCATGTCGGTCGCAGTGGCAACGCTGACCTAGATGTTCCTGACGATTGGCTTCCAGTTATAAGGTTAGATGACCAGTGAATCTTGATTTCACAAAAGGAGCTTTGATAAAAGTTTTAAATGAAAAGTTGACCTTCAATTCCCCTCTTTCCATTTACCCGAAGTTGCTTTATTTAATCACAGATTTTTTCTAAGTAGGACGCAAGACAGGTTATCGCTTTAAGCCACTTTAACTCAGAAGAACTCGTAGTGCAGGCCGATAAGAGTTGTCCATGTTCGAGCATTAACTGTTCATAACTTTATTTACAAATGTAGAATCGCGCGCATTATTGTTTTTCCTTGTCAGAGAACCGATAACCAACAACTCAGGCGAGGTATCAGAAGACGGAACTTGTTCTGGAGTTCCTAGTGGGCTGTCAATTGAGATGCTGGTAACTGAAGCTGGGAAATACGCAGGAGTGCCTCAGATGGAAATAGTGGGAACAAGAATCAAGTTAGTATAGTTTTAACCCTTGAACTATCAAGATCCAAAAACTCCTTTTATGGCTATTCCCGGGGGGAGGGGGTAGAGAGGGCTTTCGTTTGATATTATCTTACGTCCCCTTTGAGTGTGGTGTGGGGTGACATCAAAAGAACGTCCGAGCGGAAGACTGGAAATTCCGTACCGTTGACAATTGTCTTCATTCTCGTCACCTATATAACTGCTATGTGTTTCATGAAAACTAATTCTTACGTCAGCGGTTTCTTTGCGCAGTTAGTTTAATTTACATCTAAAAAAGTTGTTTCTTTGGACAAAATATAATCCTCTTCCAATTCCGCGAATAGAAAGAAATGGAGAGCGGGAAAAATTTGATAACGATAAAATTCCAGCTATACTTTCCACTCGCCCTCCTTTCGTGTTCATGTTAATTTTTTCCAGTCTTTTTTCGTATCAGATACCAGTACACTACCTGGCGACTTAGTTGTGTCAGCGGTTACGGTGTGAGTTGTTCTGCACCAGTAACAAACACAAGTGTTAAACAAGTAGTGCCCAGCCCCTCTGCCATCACTCCGACAGCAGCAAGTTCATTGGTCAGCGTCAATATTTCTAACTCATCGGTTACACTAGCCAATCAGAACTCAAGTAAAACGGAAAACGGCACGAAAAACGGCACGGAAAACGGCACGGAAACGAGGGAGTATGCCCCTCTTTTCCAAAACTTTATGTTGAAAAGCTCGGTTGTTTTCATCAAGGTTCCCTCCGTAAAACCGCAGCCGGTAAAAAGGTAAAAACAAGAAAAGTAGTTTTTATTTGGAAATTGTTATCATTCGGTCTAACGATCTTGTTCTTTACCTCTCCTGTCGCATGCACGCTTAAGGGAAAATATTTTATTTCGAGTGATCAATTTTTAGATTCATCGAGCAAGCGAAATGTTTAAGCGACGAGTCGGCCCGTCTGTGTTCGATTTAAAATGTTCTTACAATTATATGATCCTCGATGAAAGGGCAAATCGTAAAATTTAAATTATCTCGATTCAGAAGTCGGGTCTGCCCACGCAAACAAACTCTCATGTCAATTAATTCTTGTTACCAATATGCCGTTCGCGCTCCAAGCCAAAAGATTTGGCCTAGAAATAAAACATGTCTTATGTTTAAATTGGTTTCATCTTAATAGGAAACTTAACGTTTCCCCCAAGTAACTGGCAAATACTAGAATTTAGGACCTTTCATAGCCGAACATGAAAAAAATTTTTTTCCTTCGATTTTTTAAAATTTTCCATTATTTATGATCTTAATGTCTTTTTTTTCCACTCTTCTTAGGACGGTGGATCTCAGTGGAATATGTTACAGAGATGTCTGCAAAGAAGAGCTGTTTTTTCCATTAACAGAAGCTTATCAAGGAGAGCCTCGTGATAAGGCTATTGCTCTGTCTCTGTTTCTTATATTTTTGGCTCTGGTTACCTTTGCTGTGACAAAGCCCTGGGGATAATGTACTGTTACTCTTGGTACCTCAGAATCGTTTCAGTTTGGTCAAGTCGTAGTCAAGGATAGGGTGGTTGAGCTTGGTAATTGTCTTAGTACACACGTTCCAAGCAACGAGGAGGATTTTGTAGCGCGCAAATCAAATGCTCTGTTCTTCAACGTAAATAATGTCAGATTGCGTAAGATCTAAACGCCCACATCAGTGGTGAGTAAGGAAGCAAGTTGCGAAGGAATCTTCTGGAAGGGTTACCAACAACAACACTTGGTGCGGTAAGGATACGAAAAAGCGAGTGGGAAGACACTCCTTTGAAAGTCGACTGTGTGAATGACCTCTGGTACCCTCTTAGATATTTTGGCAGACCTTCTCATTTGAAAATCAGCACAGGTAGAGCATACTTATCGCCAGAGGTTAAAATTGCTTTCCGTGGTTACAAGCCCTTAGCATCATGTCGTCATGCAGAAAACCTGAAAAAAACACGCGATCGCGGCATTGTCCGCCTGTGATGATAACAGCCGCCGAGGCCTTCAAATCTTAGCACTGATCGAGACGTTCGTTTCTCGAGCTAAGAGTAATGGATCGATGTCAGGATCTGAGGAACTATGCACCTACCCCTCCCTAACACAACAACAGTCAACTGATGACAAGTTGGGGTTAATGTTTGGTTAGGGGAGGGGTAGGTGGGTAGTTGCTCAGATATTGGCATTGATCCGGTATTGACATAGACATTGATAACTAACAACGCCACATGACTTGTAGGTACTGTTTCATGGACCAAAGATTGACTTATTTGTGAAGTAAAATTGTGAACTCCAGCATCCTCGGTGAAAAATCGTCCGAAATTAAACAGTCAGTTTCGAAAAGATGTGAACAGGCAAATCGCGCATGTTACAGGGGCATAGTAGCGGGTATTTTCTTGGAGTATTCACCGAGGGAGTGAAAGCTACTTAAGCGACAGCGAATGTCTATAGCAAAATCGAAGATAACAGCAGGTGCTGATTTTCAAAAGATCAAGAGAATAAAGGAAATGATCACTAGCTAATGAAGCTCTTGATTTTTTAACAACTTCTCTCGTCAGCACCTTTGGAAATACACTGATAACAATATAGAGAATGTACATAGTGATGTTGAGATGCAAAAGGTTAAAAGTCAAGTCTTCCGCCCCAGTCCCTTTGGCCATCTTTCCGTGCGCTTTCCGCGTTAAAATAGAAGGTGCTGTGGAGGGAACAAGAAGCAGTGTGTGGATTTCAAGAAACGAAATTGGAATGTCAAATTTATTAGTTTTCTCTCTACATCTTATTCATTTGAACGTCTAAGAAATATAACCTCTTATCTGGACAATCTTCTCATTAAAACAACTTTTTAAAAGTCTCCCCCTTAATGAAGATAATTCCTGTTCTTGAAAAACAAACTTGTGCGTTTCAGTGGAACAGTTCGTTTAACTAAACGAAAGACTAACTAACTTCTGTTACAAAATTTTAAATTAATTTTTATATTTTGTTATTAAAAAATAATTTACTCTAGTGAAGGATAATATTAAAACATAACTGAGAAATAAACAAACCAACATATGAGCAACGAGTAGCAATGATGATGATGATGAGTTCTTCATCCATGGTTGGTTTAACCGAGTTAGCTCTGAAAGGCTGTGGTCGATCACGTGGTATCCAGTCGGATTGTGCGCAGTTTGTTCTGATATGCCAGGATGCAGGCTGCTTCATTGGACCCCCCACAGTATTGCGACGACGAAAACACGGTCAGCAGTTTGCCATTCTGTTGAACCTTCGAGTCAATGAAAACGAGAAAGTTAGAGTAAAGATGTTGTCAGTAGTTTTACCTTTATTCCCACGATTAGCTCACGTTTAGCAGCTTTTATCTCTCTATCGTTAAGCCTAGAGTGAACAGTGGACATTTTTTAATCTACCGGCTGTTATAAGCAATGTTGTCCCAGTAAAGGTTTGGCAGTATACAAGAGAAGTAGTATCACTTGAGAACCAAGCGTGAACGGAACTCAAATGTCACGGAACCGTGAATAATTTTAATTAGTCCCAATCTCGAGTAAACGCTTTCCGTTGAGCATTCGTTGAATAAAATTTGGCCAGAATATGGAGCATAGAAAGAAGTCTAATTTGAAATTTGAAGCTTCTTGAAGTGAAGAGAGGCGGGAGGGAGGGGGGCGGGGGGGTGTTAATAGAAAAATTAAGCGGAACGGCTTCAGTTTTAGCTAAAACCGTGGCCCCCAAAATATTTTTCCCACCTTGCCCAAAAAATGTTGAAATTTTTCACAACTTCGCCTGTTCCTGTTCGTAGGTCCGGCCAAGCCTTTATGGTCATTGGCCCCGTATAGCCGCTATGGCTTGTAAATACAGGCGTTTAATTTTAACTTGTAAAACTCCTTGAAGAAGTCTACGACAATTAGACGAAACTACTGTTCGCAAAGTGCCGCTCACTAGTGCAGTTTTAAGAAATTAATTAAAAAATAATTAATTCAAGAAATAATTTTAAGAAAAATTATTCCAAAAAAATTAAAAATTATTTTAAAAAAATCATTTAAGAAATGATTTTAAAAATTATTTAAAAAATTTTTTAATGAAAAATCGTTTAAAAGATAATTAAAAAAATTGTTTAAAAAATCATTTTAAAAAAGCGTTTAAAAATTATTAGAAAAATTAATTTTAAAAAATTAAAAATAATTGTAAAAAAAATTAAAAATTTAAAATAATTGTAAAAAAAATTAAAAATTAAAAATAATTGTTAAAAAAAATTAAAAATTAAAAATAATTAAACGTTTTTAGAAATAAGTAAAAAACTTATTAAAAAACATTAAAAAAATGTAAAAAAATTGATTAAAAAAATAATTTTAAAAAAGTGTCAATAATCATGATTGTTAACCTTATTGCATTCACTCGAAACTTCCAGAATCACAGAATTGGCCAATGTTAACAAATAGAGCATTGAAACGGAGCGCTGCGGCATTGATTGAAATGAGACCAAAAACAAAATGTGTTGAAAAACATGAAATCAGAACGAAGGAAAATATACCAGTTGTGAGAACTGGCGTGAATACGTATACACCAAGATACGGTTGGTTGTATATTTACATCTAATAAAGTGGTACAGTGTTTTCAATCGAATCACCGAGTGTGATCATCCCAGTTTTCTTTCGACATTCGAGAGACAATTGCTCTGCATACCACCTGGGACTGTTATTGTTCGACCAGGCAGAGCACGTGAAAATTACCTCACTTCATTTTAACCCTTTAACTCCTACAAGTGATTGGCTTCTAATTTCTCCTCACAGCACGAGAATAATAGAAAGGATCACCGATTCAGAAGGTCCTGATTGTCTAACAAATTCTCCTTGTCTTTACCATAGAAAATGTAGAGAACAGTGTGGAGAATATTAATGTTAGGGTGTAAAGGGTTAAACCGTTTGCTTTGTTATTTACATATCAAATGACGCTAAAGTGATATTAACAGACCTGAAAGCCAGCTTGCTGTACTTCATGCGCTCTGATCACGTGAGTAAGATGGTTCCTCTTCAAGAAAGCATCCAAGGCGTCCGCGCTGCAAAATAAACAAAAGCGGACGGGTGGTACAGTTCGGGTAACCTCGCTTTCACACCGAGGCAGTATGAAGACTCCACTGTAGTTTTGAGTGTCTCGAGTGTTTATCATATCTCTCAGTTAGTTCGTGCGCTAGGATTGGTCAATAGAGGGTTATATTTCACTGTACGGACCGCTGAATTAAAAATGTTGTTTGAATTGAAATCTTCCTCCATTCATTTAAACCCATAGATATGACAAATATTTTACTACACCAGTTTTGTCCGCTAGTAAGAGGTATGTCAGCTTTTGACACTGTTTACGGTGGCCGATTCAAATTATCAGTTGATAAAATAATTTATTTCGTTACACCCCCCTTCCTGACGCAGCACCACAGTTTCTTTACAAACTTACCCCTTTATATGAGGGATCGCCTGGAGCGGTGATAATAACGAAATATGTGGATTTGCAGACCAATCAGATTGTTGGAAACTTGTACAATTGAATCAACGCTAGAGATTTTTGGTTTTTAATTAAAAACTGGATAATTGGATAATGTGATTCAAGAGTTTCATTGGCCTAGCCATCATGGGTTATGAGCCATCATACCATGCTCTCTAAATATGGTAAGTCTATGCATCAGCTCAAAATTAAATTGGAGAAAAAATTTGTACTTACATAATAAAGTTGGGAAGACTTAACAATATTTTGGGGCGTTTTTGGTTAAGCAATCATTCCACGAGCGCTTATTGGATATAAGATGGTAATAGCCAACTCGGTCCTACGAGCCTCGTTGGCTATCTATCATTTGGCGTTCAAAGCGTACTCGTGAAATAATAAATTGATGATTTCGTGATCAACGCCAGCCCGAATGATATATCCCAACTCCCCATCGTTTCCTTAACATAACGACAAGAAAAGGTCCATCCTACCTAAACAAGTAAGCAGTACCTCGCCTGCTATTGGCTGTGAATCCCTCGTTTTGTTTGAGTTTCTCCAAAATGTCGGGAGTCACATCTTCTGCCCTGTAAAAGTGATGATTTTAATCACACACAATCTACTCCAATAACTGACCGGACTTTGAATCAAACTACGTGTAAGATTTTCTTACTTCTAATGTTTCACACTACCTGATCGCACTCTACTGCTGCTTCTCTGGGGTCCATTAATTGCAAAGTTAATGCAAAATACGTCTTTAAAAAACAAACAAACAAAGGTAGACCTCCTATCTGGCGGAAGGTGATTCCTCCAAATTTTTCTTGCAAAGTGAGGTTAGTTTAGATTGGGTAAGATTACCGGAAGTGGATGAGACAGCGAAACAGGAGCTTGGAGGTTTACAAACGGGAAGTAGTGTCACTTTCGAGAAGGAAGGGAAGGAAAAAAAGGGAAACTCCAAAAATTGGAGTTTATTTAAATACATTCTGCTGCAATTGCTTCCAAAAATGTAAGACTTAAGGCATCCTTTTACAAATAAAGGCTGTATTTTACCACTGGGAATTTAATCCACAATGTTTAGTGAAAATAATGTCGTTTTCATGACAACACATCAGCAATCTTGTCATTCTAAATGCGTCAAGTGTTATTTTCGAAGCTTTCAGCGATAAAGTAATAACAATAAGTGGGTGTGAGTTGAATCACATTACGTCACAAAAAGCCTTTCCTATCTGCATAAAAAAGAAATCAGCCAAGGGCGAACTAATACCGGCTCCACGCATAAGAACAATACTGTTATCACATTTGAAAGTCATTTGAACAAAAGCCGCTCACTTGAATATAAAGACGAACGAATAAATCTGAGCAAAAGAGGGGATTAACCTTCTTCTTTTGACGATCGCTTTAAAAGTAATTTCAAGGATTAAATGTCCCTTCCATTTGTCCCAAACGTTTACACAAATGCACGCACGACGTTATATGAGGTGAACAAAACAAACTGAAAAGACAACAAAGCTGACACGTACAAAGCTCATTTGAAAGTTAATTTTTGCGGAAAGAAAATTTATGTTAACATTAAACTGTGATCATTGATGCAGAGAGCCTAAGGACGCTTCAGCCGCATAGGAAGCGTCGAGAAAGTTTAGTTCTTTAAATGAATCCTAGGTCCCGTTGTTTTAGTTCTTTAAGTTCCTCCTGTCGTGGTTGTCGGAGAAAACAGCTATAAAAGGGAATGTGCACAAGAAATGAGCGAAATCAAGCAATGTGCTTAACTTCAAACTGTTGTTATATAATTGATGGTTTGATTCAGTGACCAAATACTGCAACACCAAACAACGAATTTAAGGATTTCATGTCCTTCTTTCAACCGAAATCTAACTGCTGGCCTTGAGAAACTGTGTCAGGATTTTTGTATTGGATTTTTGTATTGGAATTCAACATGAGTTGCATCAACTTTTTGAAACTTCTGCTTCGTTCACGGAAGGACGATCTAACGGGAGATGACACGCTTTTCAACCGGTGTTTGACAGTACTGGATGTGATTCTATTAGGAATGGGATCCATGCTTGGGCCAGGTCTGTACGTAGCCACAGGACAAATCGCTCGAGATACAGCAGGACCAGCCATTGTCATTTCTCTTATGATCGCGGCGTTCCCGGCGATTTTGTCTTCGCTCTGTTATGCCGAATTTGCCGCTCGCGTCTCGAAAACAGGATCCTCGTATGTTTATACATACCTTGCTCTGGGAGAGATATGGGCTTTTATAATCGGTTGGAATCTAATTTTAGAAAACGTCCTTGCAAGCGCTCTGCTGGCAAATGAATTCAGCAAATTTCTTAACTCCATTAGCGGGAAAAAAATTTCAAAATTCATGACTGAAAACGTTGCTCAGTGGAGCGTGGCAGGATTTCAACCATATCCAGATTTCATAGCTTTTTTAGTCGTTATTGTATTCACCGTCGTAGCTGCTACAGGGCCGCGAAAACCAGCCCTTTTCATGCGATTTGCGACTATGATCAATTTGCTGGTGGTCCTATTTATTGTACTCTCAGGATTTTACTTCATGGACACTACCAATTGGGAGACACTTGACAAATTCGCACCTTTTGGCTTCGATGGAATCATGGCTGGTGCGTCTATTTCCTACTTTGCGTTTCTTGGTTTTGATATCATCAATTCTGCCAGCGAAGAGACTGACAATCCACTAAGAGTTGTTCCGTTTGCCAACTCTGTTAGCACGTATATTGGGGTTTTCATATACCTCATCACTGCAGCAGTTCTGACGTTAATCATTCCCTACAATAAACTTAGTTTCAACAGCCCTCTAACAGAGGCATTTGGTTACACAGGTTCCGAAGTTGGAAAATACTTTGTTGCTATCGGAGGATTCTTCGGAATGACAACCGCTCTGCTCACTTTTAATTATGCAGGAACTCGTCTTATTTATGCCATGGCCAATGACGGACTTTTGTTTCAAAGTTTAGCAAAGGTTAGTGACAGAACTCGAGTTCCAATTAGAGCTGGATTAATTTTCGGCTTCAGTGCAGCAGTAATAGCACTCTTCCTAAACCTAAACGACTTAGTTGAGATGATGTCTATTGGAACACTCATGGCGTACACCGCTGTGTCCTTGGCTGTCCTTCTAGAGCGATACCGACCGATGTCTCGGTCAGAATTTCCAACAAACGGAGAAGATTACGACACGAATGACGACGAACCCTCTTCTTGCTGTGGGAAGCTTCGCGAGGGAATGAAGAAACAAATCTCAGCTGCGCGAGAGATCAAAACCAAATTGAGTGCCAAGTTTGGTGACAAACCCACCAAGGACACTCATCGAGTTGCTGGAATTGCTGCGGCGTGCCTCGTATTTGCGGGTTATGGGTTCTCTTTGACCGTCTCTCCAGCAAGCGGCTTGCCTCATGTGGCCGAGAAGAATCCTATTATCATATTCGCCTGTTGCCTAATGGCCACTGTCGTCATCTTCGCCTTGGCAGTATTGTTCATGTTACCAACAGAGGAGTTTAGGATTGCTCATGCAGTGCAATGTACTCCGTTCGTTCCTCTGACCAGTATCTTGACCAATATTTACTTACTGACTAATTTGTCCCGTTGGACCTGGGCTCGAGTAGCTACCTGGATGTTTATTGGTGAGTAAGTTGTAGAGTATTACCACTGAGTGTTGTAAATTAAAACCATATTTGAGGCACTCTGCAACTGAGTGCCGACACTAATCCAGGATTACAGCGATTACACCTCGCTGTGTCATTTCTTTCTGACATAACAAACTCGAGCTACCCACAAAACCAATCAGTTAAAAGACTTACCACAATAACAAGTGGGTAACTCGCGTTTTCCGAGATATAGTTCGTTTGCAATCTATTTACTCTTGGATATCACTCGCCGTCTTTGCTATATCTGGATTTTTCCTCTGTCCCATAGTACACACAGTTTTAACACTTTTAGCCACGAATTCATTCGTTCGGCATTTAAGAGCTAACCCGCTATACCTCAAGGGGCTTTAAATGACACTATTGTGCTTGATTAAAACCTACTCACTGTCAGTATTTTTTGTCTCTGAAGGTATGGCTATTTACTTCATGTATGGCATTCACAATAGCAAAGTAGATTTCACAAAATATGACGTTTCACGTGATTTTCTGGACCGGCTTATTCCGTCAGCACGTGACGAACACGTCCGCACCTGGACACCGAGCAGTGAAGAAGGACCCATGTCACCCAGTAGTGACAGTGAAAACGATGAAGGGTTTCAGTCCAACTTAATGACAAGTGAAGATGAGTCTCCTAAGCACGCAGTTCTTCACAAAGAAAAGAATAAGGCCACAAATACAGCAACCGGACCAGCTGAACGATACCGTTAAGACGCTTCTTCTTTTTGACACTTAAATGTCCTTTTGCTTCTCTTCTCGCCGTGGATACGTCATCGGTACATTTACATTGAATTTACATATTCATCAGCAGAACAAACTCGTAGATAATATTAGAGAAGGTAAATTTTCTTAGAGCAGACTTTTCTTTTCACTCTTTTCCTCGACAAGTGTGTTCGTCAAGAGCAAATTTGACTAAAAAGGCTACAAGTATATCAGTTTGAGTTGAAGAGGACTTGTGCGCACTGTAAAATAGGTTAAACTTTTCCAAGAAAGAAAAGTCGAGGAAAATATGCCTGGGTCAATTTTGGCTTAATACAAAACCTGACTGAGGGATCATGCAATCGGATAACTGCACCTTCAAAAATGCACCTGGACTTTTTCAAATCTCTACGTTTGTAATATGCGCCACTTTATCCAATCTTTCTCGAGGTGATACATTAGCTCCTTAATGTTTGTAGATTCTAACATAATTATTTGCAAGTTCGCTAGTATCACGTAAATCCATCTATGAAAACAAACAGAGAAATCGGGAAAGCCTTTTTTTATCGCCCTTTTGAGAAGGAGCGAATCAAATATTTTGGAATTATTGAAACAATTCATATTTTATTTTCCATACGAGTGTTAACTTACAAAAAAAAGCTAAGTTGTTATTTATATAAAACCTTCCACTTTCGAGAATGACGCAACCAAACTGTTATTTCTACAATCTTTCAAGTATGTTACATATTTAAAATTGGAGATATTTTTGATGACTATTTCTCAATTCTCACCACATGCTTGACATGTCAGTGATACTGCATGGAGAATTACCATGTTGATCACTTCATGATTCATAATGTTGAGAATGCAATTATTTAAGTCTTTGAAAATAAAATGTGTTCTGTGCGATAGATATTTAGAATCTTATTATGCGTTTGAACCCTTTTGTTTTAAATGGCCAAAAGAACCTGTCAATGCCCTTAGTGTCTTTTTTTCTCATAACCAAGAAAGTGCTAATAGACTGAACTTCGGTGAAAAAATACGTAATCTCGAGAAAACGCTAATCACTTGGCAACGGAGAAATCCAACTCTTTATGGAAAGATAAAGATAGTCAAAACACTTGGGACATCTAAGTTAATTTACTCAGCCCCCGTGCTCCCTGTTCCAGATCACTATATCCAAGAAATAAATAAGCTAACTTTCAACTTTATTTGAGCAGGAAAACCCCCTAAAATAAAAAGAAACACCATAATTGGAGAAAAGAAATAATGGCAGTTTGAAAATGTGCGATTTTAATATCATGGAAAAAGCACTCAAAATAGCTTGGGTCAACAGAATTCAAGATGACTCACAAGCCTCCTGGAAAATTATTCCTAACCAGCTCTTACACAAACATGGTGGTCTTGCTTTTCTAAAAAAATGCAACTTTACACCAAGCACACTAGACCTCGATGATAAGCTTCATGCATTTTACAAAAAAGTGTTAGATTATTGGTGCGAGTTTAAAATCTCAACAGGCATCGATTCCAAAACAAATCCTAAAAACGAAATAGAGTGGAATAACAGAAAAATTCTTATAGGAAAAAAAGCTGTCTTTTACCAAACTTGGTATGACGCCGGTATTACTAAGATAAGCGACATTTTAAACCAAAATCAGAAATTTTTGAAGTGGCATGAATTTGTCACAAAATTTCATTTAAATGTGCCTTTCACCACATACTATGGCTTGGTCAACGCAATCCCAAAAGACTGGAAAGCTAATCTTACAAACCCTATTCCAAACGTCACACACGCGAACACTACTGTAAACAGCCTAAGAACCAGTTCTATTTACTCTTCTCTTTTAAACACTGTCTTTGTTCCTCCCACTACCGAAACCAAAATTCTACGCCACGGATTTACAAAAACTACCATCAAGAACGTTTATCTTATGCCATTTAAAGTTACAAACGAAGTTAAAATAATAATGTTTCAGTATAAAGTGATTCATAACGTGCTTCCAACTCGCGCCACTCTTTACCGAGACGGCATTTCAGAGAGCCCCCTACGCAACCTATGCAATACAGAAAAACAAACGTTGCATCACATATTAATAAACTGCACACTAATACTCGACTTCTGGATTCTGTTTCAAGACTGGTGGCACCAAAAAACAAATGAAACAATAACGTTATCCACAAGTCATATACTCTATGGCTGGCATTATAGGACAAAGCATTGGCAAGTCCTAAATTATTGCCTATTGTTAGCCAAATATCACATTTTCTGCACAAGCCTTTGGGGAGACATCTTAGATTTTCAAATCTTCCTACTGTTCATCACGGGAAAACTTGAAATCCTAAAAGAGATCGCGACTGCAAAAAAAGAACTTCCGAAATTTTATCGCACGTGGGCTTCTTTACTTTAATTTTTCATGCTGCTGTTTGTTTTTAGGTTAGACTTATACTTAATTTCATAAATATTTGTTTAAGCTATATCAAAAGTAAATATCCAAAGAAATGTAGCATTTTGAGACCTGTATGTTTACTTGTGATTGTCTTTTAATTGAAAAGAACTTTGTAAACACGCCAACCGTAAATTAAATTAATGTTAATAGCATTGTAATACATGTATCGTAATATAGTGTATGCATAATTAGTGTAAGTATAAGTATCAGTAGTGTAAGTAGCAAGTACAATGTAAGTGTAATTAATACTGTAAGTAGTGTAAGTGATCGTCTTGTAAATAAAATTGTTTAAAAAAAAAATTATGCGTTTGAAAACAACGCCAAATGTAGTTTATTGCAGGCTCTCCTTCGATAGCAACGGTCGAAATTGCAGGGAACGAAAAAATGGAGAAGGTTTAGGAAAAAAGGATCCCGTTTGTTCTTTCCCTTGTTCATCCCGTGACAAGAAGTCATTCTGGCCACAAAATGCTTCTGACCGACTCCTTGCTATAACTCAGGGATTTCATCGAAATCCGGTTACTGTCCGTCCACCGCCGCCTACACGACCCCTTACCGCCGTTTGATGTTTGGCTTACGAGAATGCTCTCTCGTTTGGGTTTCACCTTAAGGCCCCATAAACTGCTCGGTTTATTCTTGAGTATTAAATTAAGCCTTTTAACCTTAACACACATTACAACACCGAATATGGTCAGTGCTGTTGTTAGTCAGAATACTACAATTCAATTCTATTAGACTCCTCCAAAACCGGACCACAAACACCTTTACACGTCACTGGACTCTTGAGAAGTGCCGCGAAGTGTTACATATAATAGAACATTACGATTTGAGGAAGTAAAATTCCGATACGACATTTTTCCCAGTTTATAAATTTTCTTTAGTAAATTAAGTAAAACAGACAAAAAACAGACGTGTATTAATTGTTTACATGTTCCGCCTTTTCATTTGAGAACCATTGTGTTACGTTACCTCGACTCTCGTAAAGCTGGATATATCCCGTAGACGGATACTTAAGATCGGTCCCAACGGTGACTTTCCCACAGAGATTTGACTGCATCACGACTCACTTGTTTTCATGAAATAGGAAACTCTTTAATCGAATATGGAAAGTGATCCGGGATTCCAATAATTTTGATTCAGTTTGTTGTACGATCGTGAAAACTCGCGCATTCCTTTCAGCCAATCATAGGCACAACTGAAACCCATCGCTACTTGTTCACTTGTGTTTCTCGCGCTTGGGATTTCGATTTCTCATTGGCTACTTGCAATATCAGGCCTTGTTTTATTTGGCCGTTGTAAGTACTTAGCCTTCCGTTAACGAAACTCAATCGGAAAGTTCTCTGCTATGCAGTTTCTCGGGGTAAAAAAAGCGTTGTCGAAGCAGTCTTTATTTCTTCTTTATTCAACAATCTATTCTTTGTAATTAGCACAATGTCAGTTAGCGAAGTAAATACCTTAAAGGATCTCCCCACATAAGTTCCCAGGCCAGCTCACTTTGTTTTTCAGGCTCAGGTAGAACACCAGGGATGTTGTCTATAGATGATACAAGCCCGCCCCCTTGACTGGGCAACGGAATACCCCCATGGACACAGAAGATCTGTGAATACAAACAGCAAGGGTGTTTTACGGAAATTTCTCGACAAACGAAAAGAGAAACACGACCAATCGTCGGGTAAGGTTTGTGGTAATGGAGCAAATACAGGCGAAGTAAATCGAAACATATGATTTAACAATGCTGGTAAAATGTAATCAGGGGTTGCTGTGAATAATTGCACTTGATCCTCGCTACGATTTCTAACAGCTAACATAAATATAATATCGTTCTGGAGCATTTCTTATTACCGTTACATCTTCCACTGCTTCGAAAAACAAAAAGGTGATTAAAGATCACGCAACATCTAACTTATTGATGCTTGAGGGGCAATTCTATTACTGATGAAACAAACAGATTGCTCCCCAAAAATTACTTAATACTAGAGAGCTATTAACCGGGAAGTTTGGACCAGTATCCTCCTATTTTTCAAGCCATGGATCAATCAGAATCAACGTAAGATCATCAAATGACGTAGGTGGGTGAAAGCTGGATTTTTCAATGAGGGGAAGGGGTACAAATCTACGCCTTTTTCGATTTTTGGAGTATTTCAGGTTGTATTATTATCAAAAGTTGATACTTCTTACACCGAGGAGGGGTACCACCCACCCTCCCCACCCTCAGCCTCCTTTCTGCTACGCTCTTGTTCAGGTTTTTTTACCTTGTTGTCTACAATTGCAGCCAGCGGTAAAACATCAAAGACAGCATTAACTGCTTCCCAGACCTCTTCGCCAAGAGCAGGACCAAACTTTTGTAGACACTCACTGCGTCGGTAAGGGCAACAAAAGAAATTGGTGAGAATTAAAAAAATTTCCACTTCGTAAAAGCGCGAGGTACTATGCCAAAAGAAATTATATATAATGGTTTATCAGATTGAAAGACTGCTGCTGAAGTAACCTTCATAACATGACCCGTGGGACCCTCGTGCGCTTTTTCGTAAAACAAAAAAGATATTACGAAATCCCCACATGAAAGCTGTGAAAGCCGTACGTGATGGCGCTAATAGGGTAATAGGGCCCAGGAAAACCTTATGGCCTTAATAGATGCAAGTTGAAATGAGAAAGGAGAAAAGAGTAGCAGTCATTTGATACAACGTTTACTGACTGAGTCAGGTTTGACCGGAAGGGAAAATAGTTCACTTGGGATCATGACGTTTTCCTGTCCGTTCCTCCCACCTCAAAACTCGCAAGAGGCCCAGGAAGGTCTTCGTTAAGGGCTCAATTCAAAATTCATGAAAACAACCTTGTTTTAATCGCTCCGTCGAAGGGCTAACGCTCGAAACGTCAGCTTCTAAACTCTTTACGGTGGTAATTTACGTTATCAACTCAGCTGAGAAGACTAAATTACCCTGTTATACTCTCCCACCGTCGCAGCACCACAGTTTCTGCAAGAACTTCCCCCCTAATACGCGTATGTTCCTTCCCTGGTTTAGAACCGAGGCTCCGTCTCAACAGAGATAATGATTTAATGTTTGTGATACCAATATTAACTTCAACAAACCTGTGAAAAGTGAACATTTTCTGAATGTCTCTAATCTCGTGGTTCCCTCGGATCAGGACAAATTTCGATGGGGCTAACACCTTCTGAGCAAAGAGGTATGAGATAACCTGCCAAGAACGCCGGACATGAACAGATTTTATACATTGGAGAGTGAAACAATGTTTTTACTTGAGTTTCAATTACTTGGGTGTGGATTTGTTGTAAACGGTGAAGTAAGTCCCCCGAATAAACGGTTATAGTCATTCATAACCTCTTTATGCTTTTGATTAAGTATCTATCATCAACTGGCCCCAACTGTTTAAAAAAAGGGGAAGACAAGTGATGCAGCTAGGAGAGGTTAATCATTGATGTCAATCAATTGGACAAAGGAAGACTGAACAGACTCGAGGAAATGGAGCTTAATAATGAGTCAGTCAGTCAGCCAGTCGGTCAGTGAGTAAGATGAACAGTCAGTCAGTGAGTAACATAAACAGTCACTCAGTCAGTGAGTAAGATAAACAGTTAGTCAGAAACTAAGATAAACAGTCAGTCAGTCAATCAGCCACGCAGTCGGTGAGTAAGATTAACAGTCAGTCCGTCGACTAGTCGGTCGGTCGATCAATAAGATAAGCCGCAGTTGGTGAGTCAGCCAACCAAACAGGATGCGGACAGATTAGTTACTTCAACAAAATCCATTGTTCTAATGCTAAGGTTGTTGTTCTAACGCGTGGTTGAAAATTAATCAAAGTTAAATTATTATCAAACCGTCTTACAGAAAAAATTGAGAAAAAATTGGGGAATACTAAGATTACACCATCAAACAAGAAGAATTGTACCTCTACTCCATTCTCCCCTCGATCGACATAGTCCCCCAGGAACATGAAACTAGCTGGTGTTAGAACGGGGCCCATACGCCAAAGAACCTTCTCAAAACACACCAAATCACGAAAATTACCATGAAGATCACCTGAAGATCAAACATCGCACTTGTATGAAAAGTAAAATGAAATCAAACAGTAACAAGTTACACATCATTTCAAAAATGCTGTAAACCAGCATAACTGGTGGTTTCTGTGCGCTATGTACCGTTCGGCAGCAAAATTCTTGTTTGTTTTCTCTGCTACGTAACCTTCGCTTTCATAAAGCATCAAAGCACCAAAACCCCACCAGCTACCCAAGCTTACTGCTCATCACCAACGACCAGTCAGATAAAAGGAAAATATAACAAATAGTCTATAACATCACAAAGTGAAACACAAAAACGTCCTGTAGTGCCGGAAAATACGAGTGACCAAGTCGCACTTGGTTTTAGTTTTGCATCTGATTTGTTAAGAAGGTCGCGTGAAATCTCCACGCCAACCATAGAGCGCAAACATTCAACCAAATTATGGAGTAATGCTGGTTATCCTAGCCCTTCGACATAGTTTTAATTTTTACTCGACAGTGCATCTCACGCTATAGCTTTTCTCCAAATTTAAAAAGATCTTTCATCTCTACCTAGCATTTTCTAAAGTGCAAAACGGCGTTAACCAACCTTAATTGAAAAAAAAAACTTAACAAAGGGCTTGTCTAAGACGAACACAGCACACAAAAAAAAAGATTCCAAGACAGTGTAAATGCATTTTCCGACCAAAACAAAAATTATTACAAGTCAGACACATCCAAAAACTCACCATCAATCTACCTTTATAGAGACTCACCGACTACGTAGGTGGGGGAATGGACTCTGATGAGCCGAGGTTCCTTTTTTATTATCTCCAGCAGAGTTCGACAGATACACAACAAACAGTTCCCCAAGGAAGGCATTTCCACCAAACCCCAGTTAAAACTTTCCTTGGATGTATCTGCTGACTTTATTGCACGCTCAAAGTACCTTAGGGCGGATAGCATTTGATTGGCATCTGATTGCTGAATGGTTATAAATCAAACAAACGGATTACTTCCATGTTTACCTTTCAATATTGTTGCACTTGTCTCCCCACTAACTCTTCAACTTCTAAGAGTGACTAGTACCTAATTTCTCCTTACTCTCTCACCCCTGAATCAAACATTAGGGTCACAAGAATAATGGAAATGATCACCAACTAAAGAAGCTCTTGATTGTTAAACAAATTCTCATTGTCAGCTCCTTAGGGGATGTATGTGAGACAGTATGGAGAATATGCATACTGATGTTAGAGTGTAAAGGGTAAAGAAGTCTCTGTTACAATATGTTAAATGAAGACAAAAATATTTGAAATCTGTTTGTTGATAATCTATTGCAATTTTATGGCAGTGACGATAGCAGCCCGTGATCGTTAGCCGTTTTTTTGCCCGCCTTGCAATTGGTCTGGAATTCTCGCGCCATTCTGTAAAACAGATACATGATGGTAATTGAACTGAGTGGAGTGCAATTTGGGCTGAAATCATAGGCGTGTAATAATGAACTAAAATCAAGTAAGACTTGGTCATTCATTATCTCTCGCGCTTCAGGTAGTCTGCCTATTTTCACCCTAAAATCCCACTGGCTCTTCAGATATTTTCATCTGAACGACCTTTGTAATAACTTTGATTTAAGTAGCGCCCGAAAAAAATCTGGCAGGCATCGGTTTGAATCCCGTCGAATCATTTTCAGGCTTCCTTTCTGCAATTAAAAAATTGCAGTCCACCTGCGAGATAGCTTTTATGCACAACTTTGACACAAGACACTACATCAAAATGCACTTTATTTCACAGACTTCAATGATGAATATCACACACCTTGTTGAAGCAGTTGATTGAAGGCAGCCGCGCAATCTTGAGTTTATTAGTTTGCAGTTCACTCTGAGCACTCCCCGATACCATGGCGGTGTTTTTCATATCCCACATTACACTGACGTCACTCAGCATTCCACTTCGACGCACCTTGACCGTGTGAGTGGCAAGTTCGTATTGAATATCTGTTACAGCTCTTTAAGTAAACAAATGGCACCAATCAACCCTTGTGTCCCTAGCTAATTGTTTTCGCCTAACAACTGCTCTGTGTGCTTTTAGTTCAAGTAACGTAGTCGCTGTGGCTCAGGAAATGATTTGCAAAGTGTTCTTGTTTAACATTTACACCAATAAGTAATCTAGTGAATTCTTTTGACGTTTACACTATTTTGAGAGTTGAAGACGTCCAAACATTTTTCTTTATCTTTTCGAGTACTTTTTCTTCTTTCAAGTATCCCATTATAGAGCAATTTTCGATAGAATCTCGGAAGTAGTTAATCCGAAATTGCATTAGTTTTACTTTATTTCGGTCTGTGATCGGTTCAAAAGCCTCGCATCACTCTCTCCACCAATCAGATGCAAAACTGAAACCAAACACGTATAGGTCGCCCGCGTTTTCCCGCGCTTTCGGCAGTTTGGCTGTTTTTACTTTGAGTTCTCATTGGCTCTGTAGGGTATTTTCCTCTATTCTGATTGGCCGTTGCGATTATTTTCATTTTGGTTTAACGAGACTCAATTGAAAAGGGCTTCATATTAGAAAGTAAATATTCCAAAGTACAAAATAGGTTTGCATCTAATTTACAAAGATTACACACCCAAATGTCAAGTTACTTCCTTGAAATTCCATGCTGTCGTCCATTTCCTCAATCCGTCTCTTCTTCACTGGAGATTGGGATCTGTTTTGCATGTAAACCAATCATATCAAAATTCAAACTGTACAGAAAATTGAGCACATCTCGTCTCTTAGAATATAAGAAATGAAGACTGATCAAGACTCAATAATCGAAAGTGATGTCTGATTCAAAAAAAGGAATGTTTATTCTGGCAGAAAGCCCTGGGTTACAGTAACTGGGCAAAACTAATACCAACGATAATTACTCATCCTCAAAATTTGTATACCTGGTGGTCACCGATGTCCTCTCCTGAGTAAGGCTTTCATACATTTCATCTTGAGCAAGTTTAATGATTGACACAGGCAGACGTAACAGCACAGATGTCCCACGAAATCTAAGATTGCCCACAGCTTCTAAAAAATCCACTAAGAATAGTTTGTCTGAAGGTCCTGATCCAAACATTCTGAATTTATGCAAAAACACAAATAGAAAATAGAAACCCCTTAGAACCAAGGTAAAAATTTTCATAAATCACTCTGTACTCCAGATCCAGATAAAAGATTACTTCTTGGTCAGCTAAGCCCTCTGTAAGCTTTAAGTAAAGTCCCTGGTCATGCACCCACACATAATTTTTTTTTTTAAAGATGCAGTGAGTATTTTGTCATTCTACCAGCCAAATAAAATCCAAGAGAAGAAATCAGAAAAAGTAAGGTTATCAAACTGAGATGGCTTACAATCTACAAGGGTGGTTCTCCATACAATGTATAATGTGAGGATATCCAACCAGAGTGATGTAACTCTTTAAGCTTATGGTATAGAAAGAGTTTAATAAAAGTACTTATTTATGAATGGAATGAGGGAAAGAAGGAGTAATTTACCTTAATTATTCCAACCTTTTTATCAGTCTACATTAGCTTGTGAAGTAACTATTTCCCCAACAATGACATTGACAGTTCAGGAATTCAATTCAGTTAAGCAGCTAAGCCATTATGTTAAGAATTGCTTTACATACTTAGCTTTAATTCTGGCTTCTTTTAAAACAACATCCTCTTTGGCACTTCCCTTTTTTAACAGCTGAATATCTTTTACCATAGACCTGTGATGTGAAAATGACGTCATACCTCTGATGAACATTTTGGTATGATGCAAGTGATATAATTATTATAGATAATTTTGCAGCACATGGCCAAATACATCACTTTTTCAGTCAATAAATTAGTTTGCATGTCTACCTTATTTATCACAGTTTCCTCTAATATTCCTGGCCTAAACTCTGCGAAAGGTTTCATTTGGGTCTACATTAATTTTGAACTCCAAGACTTGTGCAAGTAATTTTGACTTAAGCTTAATTGACCCCTAAGAGTGACTAGCATCTTATTTCTCCAGACAATCATCCTTGAATCAAACATTAACCTCAAAAGAATAAAGGAAATGATCACTAACTAAAGAAGATCTTAATTTTTAAACAAATTCTCCTTATCAGCACCTTAGGAAATGCATAGAGATCAGTATGGAGAATATGCATATGATGTTAGGGTGTTAGGGATTAAGATCCATTTTTTAGCTTTAATTACTATTTTTAGGGGTGTAACTAAATCTAAAGCTACTGCATCTAGTTCTTACAACCACAGTCTTCATTTTCTAATTCTACATAGTCAAACTGTACATCTGGGTGGCCTCTTGGTATGATGAGTAAGAGAAAAATTAAGAGGAAAATTCTGGGCAGGATTAAGCTCAGATGACCATGGCTGCACTCTATGGACAGGGGGCTACTTCATCAGGCTTTGATTGACAGAAGTATAAAGAAAGAAATTTGAGTCAGTCATTGAGTGACCATTAAATTTTTGGTTACATAGGAGGATTTAACTATACTTAGGCCATGATAGTCCCTCAAAACCATCTTAAGACGGTCAAGCAGTACTAAAAGAACTACTCACTTGAATCCTTCAAAGGAGAGACAAGATTCTTGCTCAGCAGAATAAAACCTGAATATGTACCGACAACGTAACTCCCCAGATGGCCCCCCATGAGGTGTGGAGGGATCCATGGCTGCCACTCCAGAGAGCACTTCTTGATATGTCAATTGCCCATGATTGTTCCAGTCAAATGCCCTGAATATCAAAGATTAAAATGTTTTCGGTGAAAAAATTTTTAACTGTCACAACTAAACATTCAGGTAACAAGGACTTAAATGTATGGGTAGTGTAGATTTGATTCAAAACCTCTTCTATTTGACTCAAATGTTGATTAGTTAAATTGAAAAAACTCATTTACAAACTTGTATGTGCAAGCAATTTGAAGCTATTTTAGATTAAGTGATAAATCTTAGATATATATGTGTTCAAAATTATGAAAAATTGGAGCATTAAAGGGAGAAAGTCATGAGGAGCTAATGAAAAGTTAAAGTACAAGTGACATTTCAAACTAGGGAATTAACCTAGAGTGTGAGGGATTTATTTACCACTTTGGTAGTATTGATTTGCATCTCAATTTTGTTTGTATATATAGGGTGAAACAAACCCAAACACACTAGAATCACTTTCAAGAAAAACTTTCACTTGCCACAACATGATTTTACAATCTCAATCTCCTTTTACCTGAATAAGTCTTTGAGTCCTGCTGTCACTCCAAGCTCTTTCATAAGTAAAGAAAATCCTTCAAACTTTATTTCCTTAAGTCCATCACAATACTTATCAAATTTTCTTTGGAGGAATTCTTTTTCTGCAGAGCAAGTACAAAATATTGAGAAATGCATTTTGTTTCAAACCACAGTATTATGAATTTATTGACTGAGTGGGAGGACAGGGAGGGGAAAAATTTAGCTCAATGTCCCTGTCAATGGACCTTCCTGGGCCTTGTTTATAATTCATGACTAAGAACAAAATACAAAGATAGAAAGAAAATAGTTTTTCTGTCTCATCACCTGCCTGGGACATAGAAAAAATTCTGAGTTCCCAAGAGGATTGAACCTCAGACCTTTGGATTCCCTGTTCTATTTACAAACATGACGCTATCAACATTGCTGATCCTAGCAGCATGCAGGACACATGTCATGTGAACTTTGTACATGGTCTCGCTCACCATGGAGTCTCTTTGGCTCAGTGGTGGAGCATCAGAGTGCAGAATCCAAAGGTTTGAGGTTCAATCTGCCATGAGGACCCAGAATTTTTTCTTTGTCCCACACATGTGAATAGACCAAAAAAGCATCTTTCTCTATTTCTATACCGAGCTCAAAACTTACCATCTCTCTTATTCTTTTAAAATAAAAATATATTATCCCACCCAAGCCGGGATGTACTGGATAGAATTACTGAATGTGCAGTAGCACCATCTGAAAGTCCTGAGCCTTTGAGCTCCTTTATTCTTCAATTAAAACATTGCTGGTCTTGCAATACTTCCAGTTGCATTAGATATTGCAGGTAGAATTATTGTGAACTGGTTTGCAAACCTTTTTTTGCTGGAAATTGAATCCACAAACAAGACTTATCGAAACACTTCTTTAAGCTTGAACTCAGTGGTAATATTTGATTGTATATTTTGACTGTCCAGGTAAGGATAGTCCTCCAGGTAAGGATAGTCCTAAGAGGGACAGTTGTTGGTGGCCATGACTGGCATTTGAACAACCTAAGTAGAGGTCACTATCACCATTGAGAGAGTTAGATTTGTTGTCAGTCAACTGTTTAAGTCTGCTTCACATAAACTGAATTATTAGTATGCAGGTGCAAGCACCATACCAATGATTCATTCACAACATTTATACAACAAATTAACCAAACAAGAAGATCTAACATTATAAACTAATTATTTTACCAAACAACCACAACCAACCTAGAAATTTTCTTAGGATGATGATACAATAAATGAAAACATCCTCACAAAGATGCAGTTATCAATTACATAAATTATGTGAGTTCCATTCTTGTGTTTACCTAGTTTTCCAAAATGGGCTGACTCCACAAGTTTTTCCAAAGCAGAGACAAGAATATCTTTTGCAGCTCGGTGAGGAATCTTCCATGCACCAACACTTTTCAACATTTGACCACTTGAGTTCTGTTGCTTTTCTGGTTGAACTTGTTCCAAAGACTGGAAGTTTCCCTCAGCAGGAACTTTACATAATTTTGGATGAGAATTTGACCCAGAAATACCCTTTCTTTGTAATGTACATGTACTGGCATCTCTATTGTTTTCTACAGTACTTTCAGAACTTCTCTCAGCTTTTGTTTGGTCTTGAAGTAAACCAGAACCACTGTCAAACACTTCTAATACTTCTAAAACTTTTAATTCTGGAAAGAAAGAAAGAAAGAAGAAAAAGAAACAACCTTAAGTCAATACTGAAGAGAGAGGCACCTTCCCAGAGGATTTTCAATGATAGCTTCCGGTATAATAATAATAATAATAATAATGATAATAATAATAATGATGATAATAATAATTGTAATAATAATAATAATAATTTAGAAGAAGTGCTTCTTTCTGTCCATTATTTTTGAGTCAATTGAAATTTGGAAAGTTGGTTTTTGTGGAGGGAGGGAAACCCTCAGGGCCAGAGAAAAACCATCCAAGCCAGGACAACAATCAACAACAAACTCAAACCAGCCTAAAATTTACTGGCTATGGGCTTGTAGCCTTGCATAAGTATCATTGTATTGTACTCCTAACACACATGTAATTCTCTTCAAATTGGTGAAAATCTAGGGAAAACAAAGCAACATAAATTGGAATACACCTATACATTCAGGAAAATTCAACTGCTGAAGTCTCAACCTTCAATATTTCCTAATAGAGCCCAGACCTCTCTCCAGACCATGCTTTCTAAACCACTCATCTGTTCCAAATTTTCTTGAAACCACCCAACCTTCCCAAATAAAAAAATGCAACTTAAACAATGAAGAGGCTAAAAAAAGGAGCAAGAAAGCAGACCTTGCATGACTGACAAAAGAGCACAAGAGAAATCAACACATTCACTGATTTATAACTTATTCTGAAAAGGTTTGTGACTATAAAAACTATCCAGTCAACCTAAAGATTCAATGTTGCCATGCATCTTTACAGAAACAGATCACAAATGACATCTAAATGTGGTTAGAACAAAAAAAAAGGTACAAGAGGTGCTGCCAAGTTCATCACTGATGTTCCTACCACATTTTCATATCTCCTGTGATCTGTTATTGTAAACACTCAGAGCAACATGGAATCTATTTGTTTTATTAATATAATAAAAAAGCAAAAAACTGTCAATGATGATGTCATCTATGCATCTGTCCTCCTATACATCACAAGTAAGAACCAATCAGAATTTAAGTGTAATAAACCCTTCAACTTCCAGATCAAATTTGTAATTCTCCTTAAAGTCAACCATACAATTCTTATGATGTTAATTCAGAGAATTCAATATTGGATCAACTAATTATCCCCAAATTGATATTTTTCTTTATTCTTGTAACTTATCTGTTTGATATTTTATTGATATTGTAAGGAGAAATTCTGTCTTGGTCATTCTTGGGAGTTAAAGGGTAATAAGTGTATTATATAATACTACTTAATTGATGGAGTACTCCTTTAGCAACTCATATGCTTCATCAAGGACCGGCTTGATTACTTTTTCATCCATGTAGGATTGGTGTCTCATGTGCACAATGATAACTGAATACACAAATTATGTGTCTACCTTGACTTGATGCCTTTTTAATCCATTTACAGACATCTTCTTCTACATCCACACTTTGCTTCTCAGAATCGGAGATCCACTTAAACAATGAACCACTGGAGTCAGCTAATGTACCACATGTACTATTTGATTCACTAAGCTCATTGGATGAAGCTGTGTCATCACAAATATTTTTTCTCAACTGGTCAATGTTGTGGCAGTTTGTGCAAGACACATGAAATATTAATGTCAGAGATCCTCCTTTGCCAGCACATATGCTGTGTTTGACACCAGCCACACCATGAAGGTCTACTTTAACATCCTCACCCTAAAAGAATGATCATTTGACTTAATAACAGTATGTGGCCCCCCTGCAATCACATACATACCATGTGCCTAAAATTAATGTCACAGTTAATATCATCAGTTTCATTTTTTAAAACCGAGCAGTTCAAGTACATGGAGGAACACTTCTTTATAATCATTGCTTGTGCCAGTCAACTTCTAAAGCACAAGCACAAGGTTTAATTTCCTAAACCAGTGGAAACAATCATGTTAAGCAGGTCAAAGTCCAAATAATATAAAAGCACATCAGACATAATATCTTCCTGTAGTGTACAAGCCTTAAACCCCTGACCAGACCAGCTTTGTGCAAGAGTATGATAACTAATAACTGGCTCATGCTTTTCTTTTTTCCCCTCTACCTCTAATGTCCTTGTTGGGACCAGAGAGAAAAAAGTTTATTATTATCTTATCTCCTTACCATCTTTACCATTATTATTACTATTATTATTATCATTATTATTATTATTATTATTATTATCATTATTTACTAATGTTTTTGTTTTAAACCAGATTTTCCTCCAATGTATTCCAAAATTTTTCAGTCATAGTCATTGCCCTCCAGCCAATTTGTTTACCGCCATTTCTCCCCTCTTGCTACTTGTTTGTTCGCTCGTTTGCTAATGTTTGCTTTATTTGTTTACTTTCTGTGTCAATATTTTGGACCATAGAACTCGCTCTTCACCCCCCATCTAAACTGGTTTGACAGAGTACGAGCCACAACCCAGGCTCTAAGAGACAAGCAAATATAACCTCTTTATTTTACACGATCTTTCTCAAGAGCTGAGTTTTTTGGTCATTTTTTAATAGAAAAATGTGACAAGTTAACGATATAATAAACTGGTCATTTGTTGAGATCCATTGAAAAAACAAAAGATAAAGATCCAATGACACTATCAGACTTCTATCAGACTTCGGCTTTGTACAAACACTTAGCATGCTCGAAAGGACTTTAAATATATACCAGTTGATCCAAACACCATCTATCTATTCCTTGACGAAAACTTTCATTTTCCTTTAGAACAAACCAAGGTAATTTCCATTGATCTCTAACATCACTTTTCCAAAGGAGCACCCTATCTTTATCAGTTGTCGTCAAAATAATTTCGGCTTTGATAGATTCCGCCAGGTGGCCGTGATTAACATGTTGATGGGTGTCAACGCCACTGGAGGCCATGTTTACATTGTGATCGAGTCTGAAATCAGATTCGAAACGGTCTTAGGACTGGAAACGGGTCGCTCCTTAACGCGCGGGAAGTTGAATAACTATGGCGGGCCTCTCGAATAAGCGAACCATAAAGAAACGTTTCAACTTTATGTTGTCGTCTTTCGACGCGGAGGAGAAAGAGGAATTGTCGCAGTGGATTAGAGAGCTTGGAGGAACGTACCATGACTCTCCTGTAAGTGAAACAAGGTGTAATTATCGCAAACTTTGGGTTATGATTTAAGATATCGAGTAGTGTTCGAAGAAAAAATGTGCGTTCGACGCTCGTGCGTTTGTCCTATTTCCTCGTGACTTGCGAGCTGATTTTCAAGTAAATTATAAGAGATGAAGATCTACAGTTGGCTCGAAGTAGAAGCCGACTTAAGCCTTTGAATCCTATGAATCCTAAAATCGTTTCGGAGGATAATCTCGCCGAGCTAAGGTTTAACACTTACACCTAAACATCAGTATGCAAGTTCTCCAGACTGTTTTCTAAAACATTACCTGTGTAGTTACCACGAGAATTTCTCACAATTAAGAGTTTATCGAATTTGCGCTGACTTCCCTAATTCTCGTGACCTGAATGTTTGATTCAGCGGTGATACTGTTGGGAGAAGTGAGATGCCCATCGCTTGAGGGTAAACTCGGGTCAAAATAATGCTAAGTTGCTTTTACTGATTGCACTTGCATTTCGCTGCTGCACTATAGCTGGGATTGATTTTCCATTATTTTCAAGATAGTGTTCTTTTCATTCTTTGCTGTTGTTGTTGTTGTTGTTTTTGCCTTTTTCTCATGTAAAACTCGTGTAGCAAATCTTCAGAATTTAGCATTGCCAATTATATTATTGAAGATCTTCCGTTCCAGCAGATTCGATGTAACTGCTCTGTGCTTCAACACATTCCCACAGAATGTTTTGTCAAATGACACACATGCTCTATTTGTCCCTGACTGGCTGCTTCACATGCTGTGATCACATGTACAGGGCACCATTTTTTTACTTGTGTTTATTTTTTATTAATTCATTTTTGCTTTTATTAGAACTTTGTGAGGAGTTGCACACATATTGTTTGTGGAAAACCAAATCGAGGTGAAAAATTTCTTTGCGGCTGTGTATCAGGTAAGTTCAAGTGTATAATGCAACAGAATCCTATTATCTCTGGTCTCTTTGACAGTTATCAGTTACAATAAACAGTGCCAGTATCTGTAATTTGACTTTGGACAATCTGACATCTCTCTTTCTTGATTGAATTAAGTTTAAGACTGAAGTGCTAATTTAAAAAATTGCTCTAGAGCTCTTGATTCTCTAAGAAGTAAAACAAATAAAATGAGAGAAATGTAGTTGCTCTCTCATCCGATGAAGAAAATTTAAACAGTTACCTTGAGCAAGTTCCTTTGGTAGATTGAATTATGATGATTTTATATATTAATAATATTCTTGATAGTTATGGAAATTATAATTTATTTCTGAACGTAGCTCTTCATAAGATCAACCTTCTAGTCCACATTGAACATTCATTGCAAAATTTGAAAAAGACATGGGTCTCTGGAAACCAGACCATCTTTACATGAAGGATGCATCTATCCTCTAACATTGTCTGTTTATCTAGGCAAGTGGATTTTAAGGAGACAGTATATAGAGGACAGCATAAAGGCTGGGAAATGGTTAGATGAACATTTATATGAGTGGAATGAGCAGTGTGCTGTTGAGGGAATCTCTGCCTCTCATATTTCATCACCTTCTCGTTGGAGAAAACTTCTGCAACAAAACATTCCAAGCCCTTTTGAGGGTTGGAAAGCATTGGTAGTTGTTGCAGTTGCTAAGAAAAGAGCTGCTTACAAGAGGTAGGGTAGATAAACCTTTAACCCTTTAACTCCCAGTTCTAAGTGATTAACATGTAACTTCTCCCAGTAATATCCATACATTATCCAGCAAACAGGTGATAAGAATACTCAAACTTATCAGGAAGAAGTTGTTATCTTGATCTAAAACCAAATTCTTGTTACCAACTTACAAGAAAATGTGTAGCAGCTATATGGGAGAACTAACAATCAGATCTTGGTAGTTAAAGGGTTAAGCATTTGTTTGCTTGATTGTTGATTCATCCATGCACAGTTATACATTTACATGTTTCCATGTTGTGATTTACATGTATCTCTTTGTTGGTCAGTTTGTTTATTCATGCTTGTGCCTGTATTCCTCTACATCCTTTTACTACCTCATTCATCCTTCCATTCATCCATTTGTTCAATTATTTCATTAATAAATAAAACATGCTCAATCATTGTATGTGCAGCAATAATGCTAGACTGAGTGTTAACCCTTTAACTCCCATGAGTGACCAAGACAGAGTTTCTCCTTACAAGATCAATATAATATCAACCACATAAGTGATGAGAATAAAGAAAAATATTAATTTGGGGATAATAAGTTGATCCAATACTGAATTCTCTGAACTAACATTATTAGAATTGTAAAATTGACAGTAAGAAGAATTACAAATTTGATCTGGGAAATTTTTTTAAATTGTTTTCTTTCTTTTTATTTGTTTATGATTGAACTGATGAATGATGAAAGTGCTATTTGTATCAATCACAATATTTAGTTTGAATACATATGGCTAGAGGTATTTTTTTTTCTCTTAAGGTTGTTAGAGGTTGGTGGTGCTACAACTGTTGGTGGAAAGCCACCATACTCTGCTAGTCTTGCATCAAAGATAACACATATCTTTGTGGAAAAAGCACTTGAGCAGGATGTTCAAGCTCTTCAGAGTGTTGGAGTACGATGTCTGTCTCCTGATTATATTCCAGAATTGATACTTCAGGTAAGAAAACATGAATACTTTTTAAAATTATTTTTCTAGGTACATGTATGGAGAGGACCACTTTAAGGATGACAGAGTAAATCGTGTTTTGCTAGGAATTTACGTACACAAAACTTCTTTTAGCAACAGTATTTAGTGCCCTGTTGGAAAATCTAATGAGATGGTCAATATGCATTAATTCATAGATTTAGATTAATTACATTGTAAATTTATATAGTAAACTTAAATTCATAAACATCTTTCCAGTGAAGAGTCTCCTTCACAGCTGTCATTTGGTCTTGTCATGCAATGCACTCTCCCAGAGGTGAGGGAGAGTACATGTCATGTGACAAGAATAAACAATAGCTGAAAAGAGGAGTATCCAGTGAATTGATTGAGAAGGTACCATTCTTTGATGCAGGCTGTGAACAGACTTGCATCAGGGGTAAAGCAAGATCTTCACGGTCCTGACCTCTCAAACCCTCATGACAAACAAATGTTTTTGGACAAGCATTAAAATTAATGCCTCTATTTTCAGTGCCTTTGGTCAATTTCACCAAATTTTTGAGTGATATTAAAATTGAACAATTGTTTAGCATGCGAGTGCATCTTAGGGTATGAATGTTGTTCTGAATGAATGAAGATTTTTAATTATTTTTGCAAAAATACTTAAAGCCTGTTTTTTTTAATTTACCCAAGAAGAAAAAGCTTTATTCTGATTTTGATTCAAGAAGAGAACTTCAAATGTTGAGCTGCTTGGACTCACAAGGTTTTTTTTTTTTGTGTTATAGTAGGGAGGTATAGGCTACTTAAATATCAGCCACAAGTTTGGTAACTAGGAAACTTAAGGGTGTTTTTTAGAACCAAACTGCTCAACTGCAAAGTCAAGATTTAACCTCTCTTCTTTCAATTCTTTCCAACAGGATCCTCCTCCTTCTACTGCTGAATATTCAATCTCAGCCTACAATTCACCTTTAAGCCAACCAGTCATTAAACTACAAAGAGTTCCTGGCAGGTCCAAGAACACTCCAGTGTTGAGCAGTCTTGACAGTGCAGTTAATGGTCATGTTCATGTGCAATCCAGGATAAGGAAAGAGAGTGACGCTAGCATGCCACCTTTAAAAATGTCAAAGGTAACCTTTTGTGTTGGAAAAGAGAATGAACATGTGCTGTCTTCCAAGAAGTCAAAAGTGTCCTCTTGTTTTGAAGAAGAAAACAAGGTGAAAAAAACTTCTAAAGTGACACAAGCATTGCACCCTTGTGTCCAAAAGGAGAATGACCAGGCGCAACTGCCGACACGGAAAAGGTCCAAACCATCTGCTGAAGTTTCCTGTTCTTCAGAGTCACCAAGCAAGAAACAGAAACAGGTATTTAAAATTGATTCAAATGTTTCAATAAAGGTATCCAAACTAAGTATTCAAACTTTGTATAAACTATGCATAATTTTCTAATTCTGGGTGTTAATTAACTGATTAAAAGCTTCATGATAACCAGCATTTTTATGAACTTGAAATAGATAGTCATAATGAGTTTTGTCATCCTTCCTTTGAGAACCTGTAAAGGTTCTTCTCTCATCACTTTGAATTAATATGATTGGAAATTTACATTTCTATTTAAATTTTTTTTTTTTACTATTTGGTGCAGGAAAACTGGGCAGGGCTCATTAACTGTGTGGAGAGGTGGAGAGCAGTGTCAAGCTTAAAGATAAACTCTAAGACTCATAAAGTAAGTCACTTTGTAACTTTTTGATCCCTGGCATTTTGCAATTTCACATTACAAGTACCTGATTTATTTCTGATTTACATGGGTTCAATTTATTGTACTTTACACACTAGTAAACTTTATGTCATGTCCTGTGCAGTGTAGATCTGGAGAAAACAATGTAAGTTTGGCCATTTTTTGCAGGGGAGTACCAGAAGTGAGTTTCCAGCTTATATCCGAGATTCAATAGATGGATATCTGGAAGAGTCCCATAAATCCACAGTGTTAGATGTGATTGGTTCTTTTGTGAATTCCAAGAGGTACCCTCCCCTGCAGATTCTTCATACGATCATACAAAGCCTGCTGGTTGTAAGTTTTAGGTCACAAAATGTTTTCACTTTTATATTAGCAAAGAAAACTTGCCGATGATAATTTTCATGGAAGGATCACAACTTGCTGGAATAGCATTCC